ACATACATACATCAGTAGAAATGCAAATCAAACACAATTCGATACCATCGTACACCAAGTTAAAGAATGCGCAATCATTGAAAAAATGCAGGAAACAACAGGTACTCGGAGAGAATTGTGGAGAAATAGGAACACTTTCACTTGGTTGGCGATGTATGACTAGTCACCATTGTGTGAGAACAGTGTGGCGATCCTCAAAGCAAGGATCTAGATCAGAATCATTTTGACCAGCCATCACAATTACTGGGGTATATACCAAAGGATTATAAGTCATCCTGCTATAAAGACACATGCACACGTATGTTTATTGCAGCACTATTCACAATAGCAAGACTGGAATCACCCAAATGTCCATCAGTGACAGACTGGTTAAAGAAAATTGTGGCACATATACACCATGGAATACTATGCAGCCATAAAAATGGATGAGTTCGTGTCCTTTGTAGAGACATAGATGCAGCTGGAAACTGTCATTCTCAGTAAACTATCGCAAGAATAGAAAACCAAATACTGCATGTTCTCACTCATAGGTGGGAATTGAACAATGAGATCACCTGGACACAGGAAGGGGATCATCACACACCGGGTCCTATTGTGGGGAGCGGGTAGGGGGAGGGATAGCATTAGGAGATATACCTAATGTAAATGACGAGTTAACGGGTGCAGCACACCAACATGGCACATGTATACATATGTAACAAATCTGCATGTTGCGCACATGTACCCTAGAACATAAAGAATAATAATAATAATAAAATGCCCTTGGCGGCTTCTTGGCTTGCACCAAGTCTAATTTAAAAACAGCACAAACATGAAGAGACTGTCTTATATAATGCTCTGAAATGCCTCACACCACCATGAAGAAGTTGTTACAAATGGTACACACAGCTATAAAATACTCCACATATGCCTGCTTGGGACACATAGCTAAGAATATGACTCACTTCAGAGTACAATGGAGGGAGGCAGTTTAGTATTGTTAAACATCTGAATGGAATTTCAAATAGATCTGAGTTCAAGTCCTGGGCAAGTTGCTTAAATGCTTTGGACTTCAGTTTTCTTTTTACAAAATGGGCTCATGGATCCTACCTACCCAATAGTTGCTGGAGATGCTGATAAGCTTAAGTGATGAGATGCATGAAAAGTACTTGGCACATAGTAAATGCTCAATAAATAAAGAATGTTCTCTATGAAAAAAAAAGAAAGGAAACCATATTTTTTTAAGTATAACTGCACAAATGATATGTTTAATAATAAAAATATTACATATAAATCCAGGTGAAATTCAATAAAAAATATGGTTATTATTTAATGACTATTAGGTAACTTTGCAGTCCCAGAGGTCATCTCCAATTCCCCAAAGCTGCTGTTCAAAACCTTTTCACCTTCCTCAGTTGCCCTCATCTCTCTTGGCCCATAATCTTGTGCCTTCCTGAAAAGGCTAGTGTAATAAAAAATAAACTTTTTAGACACTCTCTTCCATTCTAAAGGTTTCTTTTTATCTTCAAACTTCTTCTTACCCTTCCCTTCTTTATCAGAAGCTAAAGTATACTTACTTATCTTCAATGTTCACATCTATGATCTAACTCCCCCTACCACCTTCATCAATTGCCACCACTTCAGTTTTCTCCTCACTCATTCCCTCTCCACTAAGCCCAATTCCTAAGTACATAAATATGTTCATGTCTCTAGGATATAAAATCTTCCTTTCTTAACTATTCTATTTTCAAGTCATTAACCCATTTCTCATATCTTAATCAAAGTTTCTAGAATGAGTACTTACATTCTTCCTACCTCTCTTTCTTACCTTCTTCCTATTGGTTCTCACAGATATTCCCCAAATCTGAGTTCCCAGTCAACTTCTCTCCACCTTGGCCACATCATCAACTCTTGACTCCTCGAACATCTGGTTCTCTTTGAATGGCTCCCAAACCTACATCTCTAGTCACAACTTAAACTCTAGACTTGAATTTCTAATGGCCTTCTAGCCATGTGAATTTCCTTTATTAGTATTTCATTTAGCATTTAAATTTAACATTTTTAGAATCAAACTATGCATCTTTCCTTACCTTACCTGCTAATTTCAAAAAATTCTGAAGATCGTAATATTTTCAAGATAAAAGATCTTGACAATAAGACTCATGTATGAGTTGGAAGACTGAGCTAAAAGAGCTTTAAAATTGTTTCCAACCTTTCTTCTATGAAAAATGAGAACGCATGATTGAATAATAAGATGATAAAACCACTAACTATGACTGAGGAAAAGATTAAAAAGAAAAAGCAAAGACTAGAAAGGAAAAAAGAAAATTAAGAGAAAGAGGACCTAGATGAATCTGAATACTTCAAAATTATCACTTAATAGACAAATATAATTCAGAAAGTCTCTTATACATACTTTGATGTAATGATCCTTGGAGCCAGTGATGATTAGATCTTGTCCATTGGAAATCTGATCCACAGTAAGGCACATAACAGGGCCTAGGTGTCCTGTTAACTTTCCTGTAGACTGAAACCTTTAAAAATAAAGAAAAATGGTCTTATTTAAAAATATTTCTTATGGGACTAAGCCTCAACATAGACAATCTACATTCTTTCATAAAATAGTTCTTTTTTTTCTTTTTATATGTTTAGAGATGGGGTCTTGGGCTGGGTGCGGTGGCTTATGCCTGTAATCCCAGCACTTTGGGAGGCCAAGGCGGGCAGACCACCTGAGGCCAGGAGTTTGAGACCAGCCTGGCCAACAAGGTGAAACCCTGTCTCTACTAAAAATACAAAAATTAGCTGATGTGGTGGCGGGTGCCTGTAATCCCAACTACTTAGGAGGCTGAGGCAGGAGAATCGCTTGAACCTGGGAGGGGGAGGTTGCAGTGAGCTGAGATCGCGCCACTGCACTCCAGCCTGGGTGACAGAGCAAGAATCCATCTCAAGAAAAAAAAAAAAAAAAAAAAAAGATGGGGTTCCGTTATGTTGCCAGGCTGAAGTGCGGTGGCTATTCACAGGCATGATCATGGCGCACTGCAGTCTCAATCTCCTGGCCTCAAGCAATCCTCCTCCCACCTCAGCTTCCCCAGTAGCTGGGACTTACAGGTGTGCATCACCAGCTTTTTTCTTTCTTTCTTTCTTTCTTTCTTTTTTTTGTTTATTGTACTTTCAGTTCTAGGGTACATGTGCACAATGTGCACGTTTGTTACATATGTATACATGTGTCATGTTGGTGTGCTGCATCCATTAACTTGACATTTACATTAGGTGTATCTCCTAATGCTATCCCTCCCCCTACCCCCTACCCCTCAACAGGCCCCGGTGTGTGATGTTCCCCTTCCTGTGTCCAAGTGTTCTCATTGTTCAGTTTCCACTTATGAGTGAGAACATGTGGTGTTTGGTTTTCTGTCCTTGCAATAGTTTGTTGAGAATGATGGTTTCCAGCTTCATCCATGTCCCTACAAAGGACATGAATCCATCCTCTTTTATGGCTGCATGGTATTCCATAGTGTATATATGCCACATTTTCTTAATCCAGTCTATCACTGATGGACATTTGGGTTGATTCCAAGTCTTTGTTATTGTGAATAGTGCTGCAATAAACATACAGCATCACCAGCTTTTTTTATTTTAGCTCCACATCTACGAAACTCTGTTCAAATTAGTCAAAACTAATATAATCTATGATGCAAATGGGAGAGTCATAAATAAGTTATTCTAAAGCTGACTAATGTCATTTAGGCAAGCAAAAAAGCAGCAGAAGTCTAAAAAATGATTAATTTTAACTCCAACCTAAATCCACCTAAACATTAATCTGCTAAATGTCTGAATAGGACTGATTAGGTCCAATTTGAATTTCAAATAAAATGATATCACTGATGTAATTACAAAATCAGTAACAATACTGAGAAAGTAAAATTATTTTATTACACACACATTTTCACAAATACACGTAAGTGCATGTACATCATATATGCACATATATACATACATATATCTATATACACACATATATGTGTGGATGTGTACATCAGAAAATAAGTGGTCAAAATAATTTCATCAATTATTATAAAGATATGAAAATGACCAGCTATGTGGCTGGTAGAAAACTGGGTAAAGTCAGTTGTCAGAGGGTAAGAATGAACCTTTGTTTCACAGTCCTACCTCAAATCAAGCTGCTGGAATAAAGACATGTATCTAGCTTTTAAGATATTACAGTTTCTTGAAAAATATTCTTTTAGTTCCTTTGTTAAGATCTACATTTAATTAGTAATATCTTACTAAAATCAACCAGCAAATTAAAAAGTGCAAAGATTTTGAAAAGCTGGTATCTTTTCTGCCTTGTGTCATAATTTTGACTATTTCTTCTATGGTGCTCTTACTATGAGTCAAATTCAGTATCTTCAAGAATAAGCCAAGTCCTCACCTCTTTTCTTATTTTCTTAAAAAAGTGCTGTTTTCAATTTTCTACATTTTATTTATAATATAGTATTTAGGACCATGGTTTTTCTCTTATCTATTTATCTATAAATTATGTTTATCATACTTTGTCAGTCATACTGTAACATGCCTTAAATGTTATAAATTATAACACTAGTTTTTCTCAAAGTTTTTCAAAAAAACATCCATTTGATTTATCATTGGCAAATCCCTTCTGGATGAGAGGCACCCCATGTTACCTGAATCGGAAATGTTACTAAGAATCCTGTAATAGTCTGTTTAATGGCCTTTGTCCTCCATTATAAGATGAGCTCTAAGAAGATAGATCAAGGCTGGGCACAGTGGCTCCTGCCTGTAATCCCAGCACTTTGGGAGGCTTAGGTGTCAGAAACATTTGAGCCCAGGAGTTCACAACCCGCCACATTTGTCTTGCTCTATCTTTAAGGTCAGTACTCACCACACTGTTGGTGCAATGCCTGACATATTTGGGTTGATTAAGTATTTGTTAACTAATAAGTGAATGTTCCCTTGCTGCCAAAATTTTAAGAACTAGAAAACAAGCGAACATAAATACTCAAGTAAAGGAAAAAAACTCACATTTCATAGGAAATAAAAATCAAATGAAAGATGTAATGCCTTAAATTTTAATTTATCATTTTTTTCTTTTTAACTATTTTATCTTCTTAATACTTCATAGTTTACATATATTTTATTTTATATTCACAAAAATTCTGTGAGGACTTTATGCTCAAGTTGTTAATTTAATTTTATCAATGAAAACATTTAAGATATATGATATTTAAGTGATGTTGCAAAAATAACTCTATCAAGAGTACTGGTGAAACTAGGATGAGAATCTTGGCCTCCTTCTAGTATACAACATGACTTGTAAGCAAATATTAAGAAATTGTAATGTTTTAATTTTATTTTTCCCTCATACTTATTTTCCTAGCAATGGAGATTAAAAAAAGAGAAAATTGTCAGTTTGTTAATAAGGACACAAGAGACATTTAGAGGTATATGCTGAAAAAAAAAGCCTATGATTTTACATTGACTTCTGGGGTCATAAAAATTGGACTTCACATGCACTAATGTTATTAATATCTGAAGTTGTATTTGCCATAGGCAAGAGGTATGTTTTCTTAAAAATATCTACCTTTTAAGATCCCACATCCTGACAGCATTTCCAGAAGCAGCATAGAGGAAGGTGCCAGTTGGGTTTAGGGCAATTTGATTGATCTGGTTCTCTCCAGAAGGAATAGCTACTGTTCGACTGGTACTTGCAGAACAAGCATCTCCAAGAGTAACTTGACCTGAAGACCTTAAGAGATACAAACAAAGCAAAAAAGTCACATTCCTGGACTTGGGTTTGGCTTAGAATTCCTTGAATTCCCGAGAAACTGGCTGTAGGCAACAAGAACAGTGTCCTTTTGTCACTGTATGCATAGTACCTAGCACAGCACCTAACACAGAGTTGGCACATATAAATAAATATTTGGTAAGTGAAGAGATGAATGAATAAAATAAGATTACATGATTTAAAATTCTTACTTGGTATACTAGTAATTCCAGGCCCTAAGTTAGGAAGCACTAAAACATCTTTCAGAAAAGATAAAAAAAAAAAAAAAAATCAACAAATGGCTGGGTATAGTGGCTCACGCCTGTAATCTCAGCACTTGGAGGCCAAGGCAGGTAGATCACCTGAGGTCAGGAGTTTGAGACCAGCCTGGCCAACATGATGAAACCCCGTCTATACTAAAAATACAAAAAATTAGCTGGGGGTGGTGGTGCATGCCTGTAGTCCCAGCTACTCGGGAGGCTGAGGCAGAAGAATCACTTGAACCTGGGAGGTGGGAGTGGCAGTGAGCCAAGAATGCACCACTGCACTCCACCTTGGATGACAGAGCAAGACTCCATCTCAAAAAAAAAAAAAAAAAAAAAAAAATCAACAAATGATACGTTGCCACAAAAGTAATTTATTTTCCTACAGCTTCCAGAAGCACCACCCCCCTCCACCTGAGGGCCAGGCTTACCAATACTCTTTTGTGTATAAGAATTGCCTTTCTGGATTAAAGACAATGGAGACCTTTTGAATTATTTGCAGTTTTCATTTACTTTAACTGAATCACAGATGGAGTATCTAAAGCCTTAAATATAGCGTATGCCTGTTTCTTCAGATAAATTCTAGGTGAAATTTTTTTTAAATTTTGAAACATTTTTTTAGCTAACTTCTAGAATATTAAGCCATAATCAATCTTTTCAAATTTGACTTTAGTGAGTCAATTGAATTGGTAAATTTCTACCATAAGATATGTTATATCTTAATATACGATATAATAGTAATATTTTTCTAAAAGATTTTCAAGACTTGTATTCAGTACAAAGAATAATGTTCTCAAATTACAAAACAGCACTATAAATAGTCTCTACTATCTCTACAAATTAGTAAAAATTAACCTTTCTTATGCTCTCTTCTCTCATTTAAATGATTACCGAGTTTACATCAATTTTGATTATTAAAATAATTCATCGATATCACAGCAAAAAGAATCACTTGTTCTACACTTCTAAAGACAAATACGATAATGAGCACAGAAAAAACAAATTCGTCCTCCAATTATCCAACATCACCTAGAGTTATGAAATTTGCACTCACACCAAAGCAGTCTCAGTCCTTAAAAAACACTCTCAGCTTTTCAATCTCTGTTAATTAAAGGTTATAAGTACTTCTTCACTACCTACCATGGTGATTTCAGCCATTTCCCAAGGAATGGTAGTTATTTGAAGCAAGTAATATAAAACATTGAACTCTATCAAATAAGAAATAGTATTAAAATGTAATACCTTATATTTGGGAGGGAGAAAACATGAAATGTATACTTAGTCACCGATCAAATATGGCTTATCCCTTTCTGTTTAATACCAGGCTCTTATACTTCATTTGTCAAATTTTCCCCCTCTTATTTTATCTGTGCTTTTCATTGTGAACACTTTTAATATCCTCTAGGAAGTGAACAGGTATACAAAAATTAAAATGCATTTATAGTCCTCTCTTTTCTTATATTTTGTAAAAAAAAAAAAAAAAGAAGAAGAGATATTCCTCCTTTATGCTATTTGTCTTCAAGTTACTTACGTCAGTGTCCGAATGCACTTTGCTGAATCTCTGATATCCCACACCTTAATATAAGATGTTGAAACAGTGAAGACCAAACTGGTATAATTACAGTATTTTACAGACACAACATTGTTGGGATGACCCCCTAGTGACATTATTTCCTGCCCAGTCACCAGATTCCATACTTTGCAAGTACGATCTAAAACAAACAAATAATAATAAAAAAAACACTGTTAATATGAACTACTTTAGGTTCTATTAATAATAAAAATTATTTAAACAATTTCTCTTCTATGGGAAGGAAACGAAAATAGTAATTAACATACAACAAGGATCCTAACGTCATCCTTGACCCTCTGCAACAGGCTCAAAGACAAGGTATGTATAAAGGATCAGATAAAAGTCTGGGATGTCTGGTGTATGTATCATGTGGTATTGAAAAAATATTTATGAAAAATTTTGAAATGGTCATAACAAAAGAGTCTTGCTTCAAATTGCCCCTGAATTTAGAGTGGCAGTCTCAGATCAGCCTCTTCAAAACATTCTCCTCTGATCATATACCCACCTCCTCACAACATTCTACACTAGTAAATATACACACATTTTTCCCCCCAAGGGTCAATGACTATATAAATTTTATGTTTGACCCAAAAACATAATCACAAAACTATTCTTGTTCTTTTTCTGATATGTTGAATATCTAGTTCTACTGGAGAGATACATTTAATTTGAATCATTAGAAAAATACAGTATTTTCAAAGAACTTTTTTTTTTTTAATTAGGGAATTTCTTTTACCTTAAATTCATAAGTTCTAGCTGGGATCTTATACTTCCCTCATAGACAATGAGAAATAAATATTTGTTGATTAAAGTGAATCTTGGACTATCCCTAAATGCTAAAAACTTTTATGAGCTCCCTGAATTCCTGTATATGCTTGCTTTTCACCTTTCTAGCCTCAATGACCAGCACTTCTCTTATACACATTCTATATTTCAACCCAAGGAGAATTAGTTTCCAAACATGCTCCACTTTGATCTTCATGTCTCTGCTTATGTTATTCTGTAATCTTGATTATTCATTTCTGTCAATATCCAAACCATCCTATAAAGTACATCCTAAATGACTCCTTGTCAAAGTCTTCCTTGTTTCTCATAGCTGGGCATAATTTCTTCCTTTTCCAGAACCCCAAAACTCTTAGTCTAGAATTCTTCAAAGCATTTATAGCTGGTTTCCAGTTACTTGCAATTGTACCAAAGGGGTTAAGAGTGCAGGATTGGAGAAGGGTATACCGAGGTTTCTAATCCTGGTTCTTCCACTTACTAGCTAAATTTACCTGAGAAAAGTATTTATTCACTTGAAGCCTGAGTTTCTTTGTCTACAAAATGAGGATGCAATATGTATCTCATTGAGATTGTTGTGAGAATTAAGTGAGATATATTAGTATTAGCATACTGCCTAGCATAGCCCCTGATATGTAGTAAGTGTTGCAGAAATAGTGGTTGCTACGCATCTTATTCTCTTTCCCATATTGTACATTTAAATAGCCTTTTATAGATTTTTATATAACCTGCATTTCAAAATTCAGGACCCTATATGCAGTACATGCCCAAATACTGTAGAGAGATGTATTCTGTCACCAGTGTATTTACAAAACTTCAACAGAGGTTTTACTTGCTGCTCAACTATGCAATAATTTTACATGTTTTACATTCAGGAGTTGAACCAGATTATCTGATTCTTTCTGGTCTTAAATAGACAGCTTTCTAGAGCATGTTAAAAATGTAATTTTTTTTAAAGCTATTAAATATCTACATTAGATAATTACTGGCACCTTTCGATCCAGTGAAGAGGAGATCATCAGTAGAATCCACACAGAGCACAGCTTTTGTATGTCCTTCAGCTATGTGAATACACTGAAGTGGAAAAGCTCTGATTCCTTTTGAAGCTGGAAATGGGTTGATTATGCCCCTAAGGTGGGGAAAAAACAAACAAACCAAGACTCACTTAAATATCATGAGACTATATCATGAGACTAGTTTTGTTTTTTTTCCCCTAACTTTAAGAAGTCTTTATAAGTAAGTAGTAATAAAATCCAGACTGCTGTCTTTTAAGCAAAAGGACAAAGTGTGAAATAGTAACAGTGATGGAATATATCAACTAATCAGGCATCTGCTAACAGCTACATTCTGCAAAGAGCAAAAACTATAATACATCTAGATTTTCTTATTAACAATTTCATCTCTCCAAGGTTTAATGAAACCACATTTGGGAATTATTTGAGTGTACTGAATTCTGACAAATAAGGAAGAAGCAGAAATGTCAAATAACAGGAAAACATAATTCTATGTCAAGCTGGGGTGTAAAGGAACATGCTGGAGAAAGTGTAACTTATATGCCACCTAAAATACGAAGAAAGCAGATTTCAAACAAAAATCGAAGATAAGACTAATTGAATGAACAGAAATTCTAAAGGGACAATGGGTCAAAAATATCAAAAACTTAAAGAAAAAACTGACAATCTCAAAGAAAATTTTAAAAGAATGAGAACTTAACAGTGAATGGATAAAGAAAATGTGGTACATACACACAATGGAGTACTATTCAACCATAAAAAAAGAATGAGATCATATCATTTGCAACAACATAGATAGAACTGGAGACCATTATGTTAAGTAAAATAAGCCAGGCACAGAAAGAGGATATCATTGGATATTCTCACTTATTTATAGGATCTAAAAATCAAACAATTGAACTCATGGACATAGAGAGTAGAAGGATGGTTACCAGAGGCTGGGTAGGGTAGTCGGGGTTGGGAGAGGTGGGGATGTTTAAGGGGTACAAAAATAATAGAAAGAATAAGTAAGACCTACTATTTCATAGCCCACAAGGTGACTATAGTTGATAATAATTGTACATTTTAAAACTACTCAAAGAGTGTAATTGGATTGTTTGTAACACAAAGGATAATTGCTTGAGGGGATGGCTACCCCATTCTCCACGATATGATTATTGTGCATTGTATGCCTGTACCCAAATGTCTCATGTACCCCATAAATATATATCTACTATGTACCTGCAAAAATTAAAAATTAAAAATTAAAAACAATGAAGCTCTTTAGGGAGCTTTCTCATAAATTAGATATTTCTGTAGTTTCTGCTTTATGGCACTGGGCTATGTACTATGGAAATATAAAGATTATCAAAACATTGTCCCTCTCCCAAAGGAGTTTAAGATAGGGTCTGAATTAAAATAATGGTGTTGGGGAGGCTAAAGATGATTTAAGACATGACAAACAGTCTAACGTACCTTCGCTCAAAGCATTATATGTTTCAAATTATGCTGAATTATGTCCATTATGTAAGACAAATGGCATAATATTAGGACAAATACAGGGATAAAGGAAAACTGTTTTGTTTCCGTCTTCTTAATGAAAGAGAAGAATCTTCGAGATGCAAGAGGGCAGAAATGATTAAGAAACATGAGCCCAAGATAAGTTAGAGCTGACGATGGAGATTTATTCAATAAATTCAGGTATTTCTGTTTTTAAATCATTATATCACAGGATTTTGAAAGTATATGCCATTGTGTAGGCAAAATCCTTGTCAGTACTCTAAGAAATCACAAAGATCAAAAAAGGGGACAAAACATGTAGACCTGATCTTCTAAAAAGCAGGAAAAACGTGGAATTCAGAAACTCAACTTCTTGTTGCGTCTCACAGAGGAATACATTAAGCAAATCACTATCCACTTAAAAATAAATGCTCACCAACAAAAGATAACATGGGCTCATCAATCTCATGGGGAAAGTTTTTTGTAGAGTTAATAGATACCAATTTAAGGGAATGTCATATTCACAATATATGTTGACTTGTGGACAGTGTGAATAAGTATGGAACTGTCAGAGTAAAGTATTTCCACAGGTAGTTGAAGAGTCACACCTAACGAGTCAAAGTCACGGCTGATCTGGAAGATCTTTAGTATCTAGTCAATCTTTCCCTAGCCCCAGGGAGAAGTGGCACGCTTATTAAAGGGACATATTAAAGAGCTGGACATTATATTGCCTGAATAAAATCACTGAAACAAAATTCATTTATTTTATATGCCTACTCACTATCAATGATTTGTTTAATAGAAATAAATATTTCAGGAGAAAGACAGCGATAGACTTACTGCATTCTATGTAGGCCATATATGGAATGAGGTAGGTGTAGTTTTAGATGTCCCATTTTAAGAAGAACATTGAAAAATTGGAGCCTTTATAAAACAGTAGAAGCAGAATGAAGGATCTGTAGACTATATTACATAAGGAACAGATGATGAAACTATTGAGCTGATAAAATAACATTTACTGGAGAGAGGATACAATAGCATAATTTAAAAGCGCTGAATATTTGAAGAGCTGTCATATATAAACAAAAAGATACATAAAATTAATTCTGGTAAGGGAAAAAAGGGCTGATGAAGACTAACGAATGGAAATTTAAAGGAGGTAAATTTAGAGTTGGGGAGAAAAAACATTTATTTTTAGGGTCTGGGTATAATGATCACAAAAGTGATAGGAGTTTCTTATCCCTATAAACAACATAAGGAATTATTATCTTTGGATATATAATTATGAAATCTGATGCCATGATTTGCATACATGTGTGAATTTGAGATTATTGAAACTGATGCTCAGTAATTTATAATCTAACAATTTAATCAGATTAAAACTGAAACTGGAGCAAGATCTGCTCAAAAGTCTGAATCTGCCATTTTGAAATTTTGATGCCTTAAGGTTCATAGATATGAACTGAAGCCATCAAATTTAAAAATATGATTTCAAATATTGTAAAGGTATGATTCTAAAGAATAGTAGGTTGCTACTGTTAATTCTCAAACAGAAAATATATATGTATGTATAGGTCAAAAAGCTGGTTGTAAGAAAACAATTCATGTTAACAGCCTAAGAACTATTTTCAATGTGCATTTAATGACAAATCTTAAGAAAAAACTAAACTGTACCCTCAGATATGTAATACTGTGTCTCCAAAGGTTTATTTCCTTCAGATTACAAGCTTTATCCTAATAATCTATTAAATGTTTCCCTTATGTTACATTAATATTAAATGTAACATCCAACACAATTCTGTCATATCAAAGGTTATACTATCATAAAATACTCAGTAAATATTTGCCCCAGTGACTTATGTATTGCACAGTTATTTCCTGGAGATCAGGATGTCTTTTTTTGATTCTTATGTATTTTTATGCCATTGGTTATTCAGTCTTTTGAGAAAAAGGAATCTCAATATTAAACATAGTGTTTTATTATTTACTTTAAAATGTTCTTAAATATTCAGAATATTAGGATTAATATTTTATATAAACTACCAAAGATAACAGAAACTTATAGATATCAGAAACATACAGCCATGGTATTTATTTCTCTATTCAAATTAATCTATTCAAATTTTGAAATACAAAATCAACTTTAAAAGAGTTTAAGGTTAAATATGGCAAATTTGTACAACAGACTTGATCTGAAGGAGAAAAAAAATAAATAAACACTTATTATTGTCCCATGCAAACCTGTAAGGTCTTTTGATACTGGAAATGAAATTAATTTCCTCTCCCTTCCCCTGCCTACCTTCTGGAGGATCTGCTGATGATCAGCAAAATGGCCATAAAACAAGGAAAACAAGTGCAAAGAGGGAGGACATAAAATGATAATAGTGAAAGGGAATGAGACAGAGAGAAAGGGAAAGAGAAGTTAAGGACCCCCAGAAAAATCCATAACATGAGAAAAAAAATACCAGTTATTTTTAAAGCTGCACCTATTCTTAAAAATATTCATTTAAAAGAATGCTTCCTTAGTGTTTATTTCTTATTCTTTTTAATTTTTGGTACAACAGTATCCTTTTTTTCTCTAGCATACTTTTATTTTTAATCATATAATCTTTTTACTTAAAATTGCTAAACCAACAAAACAAAATGTCTTATCTACCTCACACACTTTGAGGCATTAGAAATACTTAATCGTTGAGAATAAGAAACCTTCTTGACATCAATATTCACAAAACTTGATTTCTTTTAAAGAAAAGATTTAGATTACAGACAGAAAACAGGTATCACAATTTTTAAACTATTATACAAAAAAACCCCACTACTTTATCTAAAAGGTATGATCACAAAAATGTATTAAAATTATCATGTTTAGAAATATTAGTGCATTTATATGATTTACAGCAAGTGATGCATGCAACAAAAAAGAGACTTGCTTAGAATTTCTAGGAAGGCATTTTAGAACATCAATGAAATTCCAGAATGTAGGAAAGGCAGGAAAGAAAGTACCTGTGTACCTCCGACAGAGAGGAGTCACTTTCATCAGACCTATAGTGAAAGAGTTAGAATTATGAGAGAAAGAATACAGATGTCAACAGGTAAGGACACTGACTCTGGACTCAAAATCAACAGCATGAATAACAGATATATAGCAAACATTTCCTTCATAGTGCCCTGCTTTTCTATTTGCACTGGATATTAGCATATTTAAGGTATAGCTAAGTCACGTAAAGAGTTTGATATTTATGTCTTCTAGCAAGACTTTGGGGACTAAAATTTTTCTAATACTGATATACAAAATCTACCCTCACTTCTAAATTTAGTCCTTGGAGAAGAACAATATCAAGTACATGAGATATAGCCCTTGAAGGTTTGCTCCATTTAATTTGGCTAGTCCTGGAAAAATTTTCCCATTTCAATAACAGTTCATCAATTTCATTCATCTTGATAATGATTACTTTAGATACAGACGCTAATGTTGAAGTTACACAAATAGATTGTGTTTTTGCATAGAAAGCAAGTCACTCATTTAACAACCTTTGGTTTTAGCTTATTTCAAAAACACTGAGTTCTTCTGACTATAGAGCATCTTAATAATAGCTGGGGTACTTTAGTGGACTTTTAAAATAGACAAGTCACTCTTGTTAGCCCTACCTTGAGGCCTCCAAGACTGCAGTGAGTCTGGTTATTATGAAAATCTATTTAGACTGTACAACAGGCTTGAGGAGAATGAGGATATGGTGAGTGTTGGCATAGAATGTAACTAGAAACAATGTGCGGGATCTGCGTCTTGCTAGTGGGATATGGTAGTCTCAAAAAGTAGCCCCAGAGAAAGTAATGTAAGGAGGTAGGCAAGTTTTTGAAAGTGTAGAGTAGTCAGTTATTCTACATTTTAGTTTATAGAGATGACAAAAGAGTCAAATGATTGGTAGCTCATAAAGTGTTTCAGTAAAAAATATGGAACTGTGATTAGGTTGTCAGGATTATCAAAAGATTGACAGAAAATGTTCTGACTGTGAAGGCAAGGTAGACACAAATTTAGCAACTCTTCATATACCTAGTGAAACTTGACTTTCCAAAACTATTCCTAATGTTCAACTTTTCTCAATTAATGACAGAAATAACTTACAATGTTAAAGAATATTTTGTTTAATAACACAGGAAAATATTTACCTACCTATATCAATTTAAAGAACATGTCTTCTACTAATTAAACCATATTAAAATCTAATGAAGGATCCATAAATAAAAGAATTATCCATAAATTAAGCATATTTATAATTCTTTAAAAATTATGGCATGATTCTCTAAGTTTATAGAGCCATTTAAAATGATCTAAACATGCCAGACAGATCTTAAATGGCATCCTATAAATTTTAGAGATATTGATACATACAGGGTGGTAATAGCAGAAAACAATAATTATCATTCCAAGTCCAAGCAGACAAGTCAGAGTTAATAAATACCTTATGGCAGTATTGTTAGTACGGCATTCTTGCAAGAGAGATTCTGGCTCAATGTGTGGATACTTTGTCATTTCAAATTTGATGACAATTACATTTTCCACATCCCTTCAACTTCTCCACCCCGCTCCCAGTCCTACTCTCTCCATCTGTAAAGGTGATTGTTTTATTCCAAGAACACAATTACTGAAATTTTGTGGTGAACTTGTCTAGAACAATCAGATGACAATAACATGTTGCACATGTAACAATGGTCTTTGTAAACTGTTATATCCCCCAGAAGTAAAGTAATTTGCCTCTTTCCAACTCAGGCTATCTAAATTAGAGGCTTTTGTGGGCTGATAGAAGCTAAGGAATCTTCAAAAATTTAAACATCAAGTGGTCTCAAAGATTTTTCAGTTGTAATTTACTTGTAAAACAAAAGGCAAGACAAGTGCTGAAGGAATAGCAATACAAATCTACAACAGGGAATAATGTTCAGCAGGAAAATAATTTTCTCTAATTTTGGCTGCATGGTTCCTTTCCCATTGGAAAGATGCATAAAATATGGTAAGAGTTCACAAGTCAGGCTCCATCGCCTACACAGAGATGACTACATGTTTTCTACAGACTGTACTGACAGGTTCAGAATATTATATATATAATTGGGGCTCTCTTCCATAATGACTTACTTATCCTGCTGAACTGATGTGTTTCCCTGAGAAACAGTAAGACGATTAAAAACATTCAGTTCATTACGGGGCCGGCTTGGTGGGGAAGAAGGAGGTGAAAGACTAGCCTCTGAAGTTCCAGAATCTGAGCTACAAGAAAAAAAGAACATAAAGTAGGTGGCTTTAATTGTTATGATTTGTTAGAAAAGTTATAAGAAACATGCTCTTTAAAAAAAATCTTTTTATTAGAGAACTCCTCCTTTCCTTTTTCTCTTCCTTATTGGTAAGATAAAATGCATTCTGAACAATTTTTAAAATCTCTTTTCACTGGATTTTGTTACATTGGCCACAAGATGGCACTAAAGAGAAGATTCTGACTGTTGAAATCAGAAGTCAGTATAAAAATAAAGCAAGCTACATTTAAAATCATACAATTTTAGAATCAAGAGCAAGTTTCTCACTTTACAGATGAGGAAAGAGACCCAGAGAGCTTATGAGAAGTTTGCTTATTCAGTTGATTCATTCATCTATTTTTAAATCACTTATGCGCTCCATCCCCATTTCCCAATTATTCTTGAGAGATTCAATTCAGTAGAAACAGGCAAACTACGTCTTTAAGTACAGGAAGCAAGGGTGATAAGAAGGATAATTTCTATGACATTCAAGTCAGTTAAACTCGTGGTCAAAAAGGAGAGTGTGCATCTTGGTACAGGGTAGTGGATGGTATAGAATTGTCCATTTAGGCACAGAAAATAAATGAACACTTCCTTTTAAATATATTCACATTTATTTTTTGTTAAAGAAATTAAAGTAATTTACTTCGCTAATATTTAAATGTAAATTCGCATAAATGCTTTCCCTCAAGGACATGTCTTAGATCTACCTGTCACATGCAGAACAGGCAAACTGAGGGAGGGGTGGCAGGGTAACACTGGTTCTAATCCAATCAACTTCTGCATGCTGTCATGCTGCAATTTTTAAATGCCCAGTTAAGTGGATCATCAGATTACATTATGTACTGCTAAGTAAACTAACCCTCACAAAACACACAAAAAAAACACTGAGGATAATACCAACAATGTAAACATGAGAGAGCAGCAAGAAAATGGCACAACAATACACCCTATGATTTATTAGTTTTTCTGTCAGCTACTGTAAAGAGGTAGGGTCAAGGTCAGTTTTAGCTGACATTGCAATGACGGTCAAAATTAATTATAAATTTTTCTATTAATAGAAGACTATTTGAAATATAGACTTAATAAGCCTTACCTCAAGTATATATTAACTCTTAAAATGATATACACAAATAACTGGAAAATAAGTAAGTGGACACGTTCAGGGACAAGTGCTCAAATATTTTTACAAGTATGTATATGACCAAGAATATTAGACCACTGAGTCAAGCCAAAAGCTGACTTGACTGTCTTGATTAGTCAAATAGTCATAACCACAGTGCCAGCCGAAATCTGGAAAATAATTTCATGACTGTCTTTAGCACTAAGTGCAGCAGGCATTTAATACAGTCTAGCAGGTAAAAAACATTAGTCACTTACTGCTTTTGTTCCTTGGCCTTTGATTTTTCTGCTTTCTCGTATGCCTTTCTCCTTGTTACAGGAGAAGGCTCTGGAATTTTTTTTTCTGGTAGAGATGACTGCCTGGAACTAAAGTAAAATAAGATTCTTTAATTACCTAATTCTAAATTTGCACATACAACTTTGGTAGACAGTCAATCTAAAATTTGTAATAGGTTAATAACTGGAACCTGAGAAAGATTATTACTTGAGAACAAAAAATAAAACTAACATAGGAAAATATTACATGAGTTATTTTTAGTTGATGGAAGCTGAACAACCATAATTTTTAAACTGGTGATCTTATTAAATATATAACAACTTATCATCTTTGAATATAAATATCAATGATATGCTGCCTAATAGCTACAACAAATATTTTGGATGTGTTTTAATTTCACTGGTAATTATTTCAGATGAAGAAAAATTGTCTTTATAGTTTTGTAAGAACAAAAATATTAGCATATCAGAATTTAAGAAACAATGAGATTTAACGAATTAATATTGAGACATGATCACAAAATAGTTCTATAGGTAATCATACACACAAAAATGCATAATTATTTTACTTAGCTAGTATTTAATTTGTATCTATGTATATTTTAGTAATAAAGTATTCTTGCCTTAAATATTTTAAATGCCAAATGTCTGCTTGTAATTAAAAATTCAAGAAAATAATTTTTGTATACAGTGGTAATGAATTGTAACTGAAAAAAAAAAAAATGTCTGGGCCAGGCATGGTGGCTCACACCTGTAATCCCAACACTTTGGGAGGCTGAGGTGGATGAGTCACTTGAGGTTATGAGTTCAAGACCAGCCTGGACAACATGGTGAAACTCTGTCTCTACTAAAAATACAAAAATTAGCTGAGTGTGGTGGTGGGCGCCTGTAATCCCAGCTACTTGGGAGGCTGAGGCAGGAGAATCGCTTGAAGCCAGGAGGCAGAGACTACAGTGAGCCAAGATCACAGCACTGCACTCCAGCCTGGGCGACAGAGCAAGACTCCACCTAAAAAAAAAAAAAAGTCTGGGGGAAAAAAAACCCACTAAGGAATTAGACAGCAAGACTTCCAGAATGGGTTTACATGATTCCTATTTAAAGCGAAAACTACATGTAATTAAATTTTGTGTACTTGATTTTTCTAATCAGGAAATCACATTTTAGCAATCCTGCATCATTTAAAGTACAAGGATCACTTGAGTAAAAGTTATGCAGTAATGGCTTAGAAGAGTTACTGCACTAAGTGAGTGACCAAACTCTCACAATGTATAAAGAATTACAAATATATGAGTATAAGCATGTGAATTTATGAAAACTATAAACTAAGTTATCTAGAGGCAGAGGCCAAAAGATATTTTTTATAACCTGTCATAAACGATACATTTTCAAAATGTAAAAAGACAAATAGAAGAGATTACCTGAATCTGGATTCCAGGCCTTAGATTTAGTCTTGAAGTTCCCAAGTCTCACTCATCTGACAAGCTAAACACCTAACACATGCTAGTTCCTAAAATCTGACCTCAGTTCTATATCACTACCTTCACCAAAAGCATTTCTTCTACTCTCATCTTATCACAAAAGCAATGAAGCCATAAACTATACTGGTTAGCAATCTCTAACAGCAGATCCAACAGTTAATTACATAGGCCACCTCAAGCACATGCAAGAAAGTTCTGTCATCATTAAAATTAATTCTGGAACAAAAGGTAGCAGATGGGATTACTGAATGGAAAACAATGGAAATATCCTCATAAAATGAAGAATATTATGAGAAACAGCTATTCAAGTGTGGAAAGTTTGTTATTTCGTATTATTCACATATCATATAGTGTATGCCACTTTTGGGGGGGGGGAATATTCTTCAATGCAGAGATGTATTCATTCCATAAATTATCTGCTAGATCACATGTGAGGATTAGTTTGAAAAATGACGTTAACAATCTTTACCAGTGAATGACTAATTTAATATTAATATAACTATCAAAACACACACATGCACACATGGTACACATATGCACACACACACATACGCACACACACAGGACTATGTGGGAAAATCTTTCTTTGTCCTCAAGATAATAATTGAAAATAGTCCATGCAAGATTTATTTTGAATAGAAGGTTTTTTGTTCAGATTATCATAAGAAAGAGAATATTTCCTTCTTCAAATCTTTAATAATACCAATACAAATATTTTTTGGGGCGTCACTCATCCCAGATAAACAATATGCTTCAAGGTAAAAAATTAGGAAAGTTCAAAATGTATTAAATTTGTAATTGGTATTTTCTTTTTTCTTTAAAAAGAGTCAGCAAAGATTTACTATCCTGACAGCTCTCTCAAAACTAGGATATAGGTAATTTAGAGAAAATTTAAGAGTCTAAACTTTCTGTTTATGCATAATAGTTACATAACAGTTTTATAGGTATAACTTTAATTTAGGTGTTTCTATATAAGTATTGTCTGTAATTCACAACTCAGATGTTATAAAAATTATAACTCTTAAGAATGATCCTAAAACTTGGCAACAAGACAAAGCAATTCAACAAAGGACCTTTCAAATTATTTCAACTCTCCAATAAATTAGGGGAGACAAGACCTAACAAATTATTTCGAAAACCAGAGATCAAATTTACATAAATTTTAAATAATAGAAATAAGAAATTAGCAACATGCATACTTTTTTTTAAAAAAAAAAGCCAAAAGAAAAGAAGTTAGTGTAGCTGGGCCAAACTTACATGCTGCCTATCTTAGAAGGTAAGCCAGGTGGGGGAGAGAGCTCTTTTTCCCTAGCAGAAGTACCACTTGTCTCTGTATTCATTCCAATCTCTTGCCCTTCTGCAACAGGTGTAAGAGGGCCAGGCAAGGAGGCATCTCCTGTACTAGTGTCTGAAGCTAGTTCACTGCTATCTGCATACAGCAATTCCATCTGAGTGGTGGTTCTCCTTCGGGCCTAGTCAAAGAATGGAAGGAAAAGCAATCAGGAGCAAACTCTTGCATAGAAGATGATTAGGGAACAGAGATTTATATGAGTTTGAAATAGGTAAAAACATTTAGTGTGTCTTTTCCTAGAAGGTGTGCCAAACATAGCATGTGAGATAGTGACAAGCCTGAGCTATAGCTGGACAAAACCTTTAGAGGCCAAAATAATAGCCAACATTTGTATTGTACTTATATGCCAGGCACTGTTCCACACACATTATTATATTAGCAGGAGTAATATCATTATCTCAATTCCCAATTGAGGAAACTGAGGCGCAAAAAAGCTAAGTAATTTGCCTAAGGTCATACAGCTAGTAAGTGACAAAGCCAGATTCAAAGCCAGGCTGTCTGCCTCCAACATTACTGTGCTCTCCTGCCACTTGCGGCCAGCTCCCTCAAAATATAATTTAACAAAAAAAACCAAAAAAACGGAAGAAAGACATTAAACCAAAAGATAATTGCAGGGAAGCTCAACTAAATCCTGTTTTTTCCCATGCTTAATTTCTTTTTCTAATACAAGTTTTTTTCAGTTATTGTAAGCCTCTTCCCATGATACCTTAAATAGATGTTTAATCTGCCCACTGGACAACACCAGCCAGTATCAGCTTTGGGCAGCCTGCTGAGGCAAGTAAAGGTTATTTTCCTAAAATCTAAACTCACTATAAGCATTCCTTTCCTTACTCTTGAAAACCAAGTGACTATCCGGTTATTGCTCAGTTAGTTGTTGATGTCACTGAACAGATAATCAAGTGGTTTACCAGATTATAGGCCTCTAGAAAGCAGCGAACCTGTTTTTTCAGCTGTATAGCCCCGGCTCCTAACACAGTGCTGGTACACACAAATTTAAAATATATAATCAACTTCATTTTTTTCAATAAATGAAAAAGAAATGATATGAGATGCTTTTCAGGCATCTCAGCAGTTCAAACGGAGTAGCAGGTAGCACTTCAGAAAAGAGAAAGCCCTGTAGCCATTTTTCACACTCTTAATTCTCTCCACAGCCAAGAGCCTAGAGCAGACATGAAATTTTTCTTGGGAATTCTTAACCCAGGGGGTTCTTTTAGGAGATGACCTTTAGGCCACCACTTCACATCTCTCTCTAATGTCCCACAGTGGCATAATTAAATAGGCTTTCTCAGGGCCCAAAAGATAAAATTTATCTTAAGAGATTCTCTCCTTTGCTTAGGACTAGATCCAAACCATAGCAGAATGTTTTCTTTGAGTTTTGTTAACTTCTGTTTAGACACTTAGAATAATAAAACACAAACTACATGCTGCCAAGCCAACAGCTCAAAGACCATGTGTAAGAGCCTGGAGATGTTTTTTGATTGGCTTGACCAGTGTTTTAATAATCTGAGAAATTTATGTAAAAATTCATATTTAAGAATTCTCTTGAAAAAACAAAGGATCTGGTAGCCTTAGGCTCATATTCCCACATGGTAAAAATGAGCAAAACTTGATGGTGGCTATTTCCTTTTAGATGGGACATGTACTCTCCAGGCAGACATAATGATGACCCATTTGTTATTGTATATCCAGCTAAATTAGTCATTTGCATTACCTGATTAACCACTGTGGGCCTTAAATATACACTACCCATTGCACAGTATTATTATTTCAGGTCCTGATTCAATCCATTCACTCAACAATATTCAATAAGCACCGCAAGAATTCTTTGTTTTCAAACATTGTAGGATTGTTAGTCAAATCACCTACTATCAAATGCTACCGCATTCAACCTGATATGTACCATTAGGTAGCTCACACATTTAACTGTGTGTGTAATTTATATCATTTTTTAAAAACCCTATAAATATGCATTATAGCTTTGTAAGTTTTTAACACATAATAATTACGGACTGGATTATTATTAAAACCACCTCAAGGCACGGTTAAATAAGAAATACTTAAGAACACACTAGAATGCTAAAATTTAAGAAATCTCCTGCCAATCTAATGATATTGTATGGCACTACACAGTCTACAATTTAGTTAATCAGCAGCTTAAGAATCACCATCCATAATTGTGTTATCCAGTGGGAAAAATATAAGAATACAGTAAAGCCCAATTTCCACCAAGGAGAATTTTTTTTTTTTTTTGAGACAAAGTCTTGCTCTGTCGCCCAGACTAGAGGGCAGTTGTGCAATCTCGGCTCACTGCAAGCGTCACCTCCCGGGTTCAAGAGATTCTCCTGCTTCAGCCTCCTGAATAGCTGGGACTACAGGTGCCCACCACCACGCATGGCTTTTTTTTTTTTTTTTTTGTATTTTTAGTAGAGACAGGTTTTCACCGTGTTAGCCAGGATGGTCTCGATCTCCTGACCTCATGATCCACCTGCCTCAGCCTTCCAAAATGCTGGAATTACAGGTGTGAGCCACCGTACCTGGCCAGAGAAATTTTTTAGTATAAATTTTTTCAGTTACCACTTAAAGGGAAATATGATTAAAAAAAAACTAAATAAAGAAGATCTTTAGTAAAACCAGGCCCTCTTGCTAATCTATTAAGAGTCAAATCTGAACCTATGTGTTTAATAGCAATAACAAATAACAGTGTAAAACATGTTTACCTGATACTTTCAGTTCTTCTTACCTTGCTCTTAGGTTTCACTTCACCACAAAGCTTCATGAGATCTGAAGACAGTGTGCTATATGCAAATAAATAATTAAGCACAAGATTAAATAGAAAATTATTATAGAAAGCTATAGCTCCTCTATATCAATGACTACAAAAAATTTATATGCCTATGGGAAATACAGAAAGACAATATTTAAAGTCAAAATGAACTAATTTAAAAATAATTCATTTATGTTCCTTAAATATTTCAATATTTTCATTTTAAAATGTATGATGGTTAAGCGTAACTTAACTTTGTTTCTATTTACTGTTTCTAAGTGCTATTCACTAGGCCATTAGATTGAAAATTATTTGTTTTATGGTAATTATTTGATACAACGAGATAAAAGTATTTAAAATATTATGTAAATAAGTCAACTCTATTGTTTCTAAATGCCTTCTTACCTTCCTTCTGATCCTGGGCTGTTTAAAGGTGCATCCTCATCAGTACTATCCTCTACGTTTTCTACAAAAAAATGTTTAAAATGTAAGCATTGTCCCCATGTCACAGTTTGAATGGTGACTGCAATCCACATGCTGTAATAAACAACAGTTCAACATCTCAATATGGGCACGATGGTTTTAGTAACTGAATCTAAATAGATAGAATTGTAGAAAAGTATTTCTAAAAACTCTCCTTTGATTGTGTGTTCTAGAACGAGTAAAACATGTTCAAATAGGAAAACCATGACTTTGAATGGTAGAGTATAGAAGAATAACATCCTTCTGAATGAGATGAGTACATATGACTATTGCAGAATTATGTATGTATCCTGTACCATCCAAACATACAAGAATCTACTGTTTAAAAATATAAAGTAAACGCTACATGGGCCTCCTTTAATGTACTAAGCCAACCAAGAATACTACATAAAGTATAAATATAGTTGTTATACTTTATCAGTTATGCCAATGTACTTAGATATTTTTCCTTTTTTAATTTCTGTATTTTTGCTTTCATATAGAAAGAGAGAAGGTGTGTATGAGGGTGTTCAGAAGTCACACATCAGCATGCAGCTCATTCACATGAACACAGAAGACAAAACCAACAGGTTTGCATGCAACAGTTCTGTAAACTAATACAAAGAAACCACTACTATTTCAGAACAACTGTAGCCGACTAGTGAAAAGGGAGAAGAATTAAACATAAAACTGTTAGGAAGTCAGTAAATAAAACAGCCACAGAAAGTAAACGATTTAAAATGCCAGCAAGCCCCTAACATCGGTGTAGGCTGTTTTAATGTATACATTTTATTATAAAAATCATTTCATAAATCTAAAGACAAAATTATGGGCAACATATACATTAAAGAACAATATATACAGTTCATCCCCTTTTAATTTTAAATTTTATATAATACAGGTAGACTATGGCAACATTAGTCAATTGATTCATTTCTCTCCACAAGTGTTCCCTTCCTTTCTCATTGTTCAGTAAGACTTGGTACTATTATCTAAAATAGAATCATATCTAGGACTCACTCAAAGGGGTTTACTTTCTGAAGTGAAAAAAAAAAATGGTGATTTTGAAGGCAATATGTATCTCATTAGAGGAAGGCTCAAGGACTTGCTTCACAGAAAGGATAATTGAGTTCTAAGGTACTGAATTAGTAAAGAATATAGAAAATTATGTTATAAAGAAATGACAAACCTAGCCTCTGTTTTCCCTCTGTGTTTTAACAGCAGGCTAAGATTTGCTAGTATTTATCTTGCAGAGTGTGATGGAATTAAATGTTAAACATCATGCAAGTCCTTCATGAAAAGCTCTTAACTCCTGCTTATGCCTGTATGCCTTAGTTAGAGATAATGGTGTCTTCACAGAACCAGTCTGGCCAGAGCCCAGAGGATCCCACCCAGATGGTCACCAACTCAGACCCTCTTCAGTACCAAGTTTGGTCTGAAGTATTATAGTAATCTGGGCAGCAGGACACACCAACAACTCACTGTTGTACTCTCAACTCTGAGAACACAACTCTAGCCCAAAATTAGCTTCTTTTATCACAGTAGCTTTAAAGACAAAGACAAAACAAAACTCCCAAATACCCTAAAGTTAATCTATATCATTATAAAGTTTCACTGTCTCACTTCACTGGAAGTTAACCAAATAACTGGATTTTTAAAAGTCTTCCTTTAAAGTTATTATTTTAAAAACGTGTGTGTGTGTGTGTGTGTGTGTGTGTGTAGTTTCCATATACTAATTATATATTTAAAAATTTAACATTGCAGCCCCTGAGACTGCTGTCCTTAGAAAGATCTGCTTGGAAAACTGGACTTTGGCTGACATATGAAAACAGCTCTCAGAGTGTCTCCAGTCAACTATTAACTAATAAAAGTGGCTCACTGTACATTAGAAATTGCAAATAATATGGCTGATGCTGAACACTTGCTTTCCTTCTGGAAGTCTAGACCAACAGAAGGTACATATGTCACTCACCATCCCCAGTAAAACCCTTGGGCACTGAGCATCTACTGGACTTTCTGGATATAAACATTGCACCAATATTGCTGTGTTTTTTGTTCTGGGGAAAGAAAGCACTCTGTGTGATCTCTCATGGGAGGGAGAGAGATACAAATGCCTGGACATGGATTCTTCCAGAGGCCATCTGTGTCTTTTCCCCTTATGAACATTGATATCATAAATCTTAAGTCATGAATACAACCATATACTAAGCCATGTGAGTTTTCTAGCAAATCTCTGATGATAGTGGTGACCTTTGGGATCCCAACACAGATACAGAAAAATCAGGATGTTCTTTAAAAGCTACAAAAGTACAACCCTGTGAGCATGGGGCGCTGGCCCTGGTTCATCCTCTAGCCTTAAGTTTCATCATTCCATGTCATGAACTTGCTGCTCTGGAGCATCAACCTGTTTGTAGGCCTCAGGTACACAAAAGTGTGGCTAAATTCCGACGCCTTAGCTTTTGCTGCCCCTGTGCCTGGAGCGACTCTCTGGCTCCCATTCAACCTTGTCTTTTTCCTGGCTAACTCTTTTTCTTCACTTATATTTTAGCTTAAATGTCACCTCGTCCAGAAAGCCTTCATTAACTCCTCCACTCTTGTTAGGTGGTCCTACTCTGTGCTCCGATAAGTCTATAGATCTCAATCATTGCCTTCACTGCAATACATCATAATCCTTTCATAGTCTCTCCTCCTCAGCAGGGCATCAAGTCCATAAGGACAAGTTCAGCATCTCACTCATCTTTGAATCCCAGCATAGAGCCCAATGATTGTGATAAAACTGGAGAACAACTAAATGATATTTAAAGCAATGTACCTATGACTTTCTAGCTTCTGTGGATTTAAATTTCATTGTTTTCTCATCTCATGCTTTTTATTTGGCTCCTTTCGTCTAGAAGAGCCCCAGTTCCTAGGGCAAATTTCTGCCATGAGTCATAGGTTACATTAGCTGAATGAGTTCCTACTCTCTGCTTCTGACCTTTCTTTAAGCTCCAGAAAATTGAAATTTGTTTGAAAGTTGGAAAACAGGGCCGGGTGCGGTGGCTCAAGCCTGTAATCCCAGCACTTTGGGAGGCCGAGACGGGCGGATCACGAGGTCAGGAGATCGAGACCAGCCTGTCTAACACGGTGAAACCCCGTCTCTACTTAAAAAAATACAAAAAACTAGCCGGGCGACGTGGCGGGCACCTGTAGTCCCAGCTACTCGGGAGGTTGAGGCAGGAGAATGGCATAAACCCGGTAGGCAGAGCTTACAGTGAGCTGAGATCCGGCCACTGCACTCCAGCCTGGGCAATAGAGCGAGACTCCGTCTCAAAAAAAAGAAAGTTGGAAAACAGTAACACTGCTCATCAAATTACCAATTTAATATTCTTCTGCACATAAAGACATCAAATAATTTATCTTTTGAGTTAAAAGAGAGCATATATTACTATGAATTGAGCCACTAAGAAGAACAAAGAGAAGGAGAAGGAGAAAAAGAAGGAGGAGAAAGACGAAGGAGGAGAAGAAAGATAAAGAAGAAGAGGAGGAGGAGAGGAAGAGAAGGAGGAACAGAAAGAAGAGGAGGAGGGAAAAAAGAGGAGGAGGACGGACTGGGGAGGAGAAGGAAGAGAGGGAGGGAGATGAAGAGTGAGAGGGACAGAGGAAGGAGGAGGCAAAGAAACATGCTTGATAACACATGGAATGGAAAAGGGCTAGTTATAATGCCAGGTACTTGAACAGCCTGACCAATACTGTTTCAACCTGTTCTGATAAAATCCTTTGGATAGTTTTGTTCAGTTTACAATATTTAAAAATGTGTGCCTAAATTTACAAAAATAAACAGGTAAGAATATATATATATACACACACAAAGATATATACAGAAGAAAGTTATTTATGAGGTTAAAACAATAGATGCACGTTAATAGATATATTTTAAAAATTTAACAGAATATATATATTATGTTTTTCTATAAGAAAGAGAAAGAAGACAGGGGGTTTATGAAACTGGAGCCACAACTGGAACTCAAATAATAAAAGCGACAACTAACAAAAGCATACTTCTTTAAACATCTAAGAATTTTAAAATCAGGAATGTTTAATAAAGATAAAAGACTTAGTGTGTTTGTGGCCATGGATACATTTCAAAAAAGATCATGCAAAAACCACTTGACCACCAATAAAAATCTTTAAAATAAGATGTACCACAATTAGTGTACATGAACAATTAGTAATTCATGCAGCTGTAGGATACACAGAAAGCTAAACATACTTACCTAATGGTACGCTATCTAGATCTGTGTAAATAACAGCAAAAAGGAAACAAAAAGCAATACTCCAATCAAAACAGATCCAATGTTAAAAACTCCCACATAAAACAAGATTATGTACCATTTACATGTAGAATAGATGCCATAGCAAACACTTATAAATTTATTTTTAAGGCAGTGAGATACACAGAGTAAAGAAACTTGGTTAATATTTTAAGTAATTTAGATAACCAATACGAAAACTTGATTGGCCTTCTTTGCCCATAAAAACTAATTGCTTAATAAGGTTAAGTAAGCCATTTTAAGTTAGTAATCATTTCTTGGAATAACAACAATTACCTTGCCAAAATGTATACATGCAAATTAAAGAAAGAATAATTATTAAAAGCATGAGTAAATATAGCATCTATTCAGTCAAGCCATAGGGGAAAGGGATATACTATACCATGTTGAAAAAGCAAAGCTACCATGCAAATTCATTTAACTAAAATCAAGTACAAATTACCTTGTAAAGCATGGCCTAGTAAAGCATCTAGCTCAGGATTTAATTCTGCCTTCTCTTTCAACATATGGAATAAGAGCTGGTTTTGGGTAGCACTGGTTATTTCTGTTTGTTTGAGTCGACCTTCCAGTACTTTAATTTGAGCCTCTTTCTGGGCAGCCTGAAGACCCTGAAACACAACAAAAAATTATCTTAGGTCATATGAAACAGGATCTACCACACAAAGATCTGTATCAAACAGCAAATGAATATGATATATGGGCTTGACATCAGATAGACCTTGAGTCATCCCAGCTCCTCCACTAACTGGCTTAGTGATCATGGACAAGTTCACCTGTCCAAGATGTTATCTTCTGGATTCTCAGTTTCCTCATATGCAAAATGAGATCAATAATAATTACCTCTTGGCACATTGTGAAAATTAAGTGAGATGGCGTAAGAACAGAAAGAGTATAACAGTCCCAACATGGAAAAAAAAAGTGAGTCAGAAACCATTATCATCTTCAACATTTGGGCAGGGTTTTCTTACAGGTGACAAATTAGAGAATTTACATTCAAAATAAGAGAATGATTAAATTATTTTTTCTTTTCTGATTCACTTTTGATCTGTAAAGAATCAATGTTAAATTAGTTATGATACCAAACTTGTTTGCATACTGAGAAATTTTTTTCTAATTTTTCCTTTGTTAAAGCAAAAGGGGAATTATTTCTTAAGCTGTTTATCTGCTCTAATAAACAAACATAATAGACGACATGCTAATGAAATTGATCTAAATATTTCTCACTCTTCCTGACTCTAAAGAAGGGTAAAAGAAATACTTTCCAATTATGAATAATCTTCTTCCTTATTACAAAGCGAAGGGTTACTACAGAAAGATAAATAAAACTACAATGAATTAGTCAAAACTTAGGTTTTCAGTAATAGTGTGGTTATATCTGACCTTATTAATGCCCATTGACAGGAAGTGATCTAGCAGGTATCGGGCTTCTGTAAGGGTGCAGGCATTAATGACTGCAGTAACATCCAAAGTCTCACCTTCTTCCTATATAAAATCAGCATAATATGATGACCATTACTTTGAGCTGAAAACAGAAGGTAACAGCCTATTGTTTCATATATTTATTTCCTAGTATTGGGTTAGCTAACGAGATGCTCAGATAGGTGCAATATATGATCATTACCCCAAGAAACATAGGGTTTAGTTGAAAAGATAAAATACATTTAAGCAGCTAAGAATTCAAAGTGGGATGTAAAAATGACCCATGTGTTACATAAACAATAAATGTTATCACACAATCAGCAGAGAAATCTGAAAAGCAAGCAGGAAGTGGCATACATGTAAAATCTAAGCATTAGATTAGACCAATAAATAGAAAACACCTTCACGTAAAAACTCAAAGTGCTTTGAATGATAAACAATACAAAAGTACTTTTCATTAAGCCATTACACTTTTCAAAAAATTACAAACCTTTGCTTCTTCCATCTGCATTATGTTGGCTTGACAATCAGAAATACTGTCATTGATGTAATCTATATTAGCAATCAGTGACTCCATCTCTTCATTGATATTAGCCACATTTTTATCTCCCTCTCCATTCTCCTTAACTATCTTCTCCCTTCTTTTTGAAAGTTTCTCTCGTCTTTTTGTCAGTTCCTCCCGTTGCTATTGAGAAAGCAGGTTGGATTTTAAGAAATTATGTTCATCTATTTATATACTGTAGAATCAAAACCCCCCCAAAACTTGGTAAGTGTTAAATTTACCCGGGAAACAAAATTGGAAGAGTAAAATTAACAGTCAGCTAAGGGGGAGCATATCTACTTTCTATTTCCCACACCTTGAGGAGTCTATTCATATCTGCCTCCATGTTGGAAATGGTCATCTTCTGCATGATGATGTCTGTGACTCTGCGCTCAAGGAGCTGCCACTTCATGCGGGCTGTCTTGGAAATAAACACTCGGCCAGTCAATCCTTTCCTCTGATATTTTTTCCTATAATCATATAAAACAGACAAGCATAATTACTTATGCACTTATTTGATTGTGTACTGTCAAATAATGAGCCATTTTTTTATTTAAGTACAACATTCTGTATTAATGGCCAAGAAGATTATGTCAGCAGGAACAGAATTATGTAGACCTGGTTCCATTTGTTGTGGGCGTTGGTAAGGCCTGGACTCTCGCCACAGGAATTCTCATTTTCTGCTGGACTCCTGTCCTTGATGCATCTGTTTCAAGAGCAGCTGCACTGGAACTTGTGTCCTGAGCAGGGGCATCAGATGAACTCAGCTTCCGAGTAACTTTCCCAGCCACTTTATCTGACATGGGTCTTACTTGCCGACGAAGAGCTGTAACCTGAAATTGCAGCAGAGGTTGACTCATTATCTTAGTCTATAGAAAGACATCATATATCTCAAAGTCAGAATGTTTCTTCCAAATGGTCAGCTTGCTTACTGTACCTCTTCCGTTTTGCGACGTAGAACCACTTCTTGGTTTCTTTTTTGGGCTTCCAGAAGTCTAAGTTGATGCTGTAAAATAATATTAAATAAGCGGAAATAGTAAAGTGAAAGACACAATATTTCCTATTCCTATATAAATATATTTCCCCATATCCCTGGGAACTGTGAGTTCTCAGCAGGAACTGAGTCAACAACCTTGTATACATTATTACAGGTACAGCTGTTTTATCCCAACAAACACAAATAAATACAGATATACCTCATCCGTTTTTGAAAAAAATGAAAGGTTATCTCTGTGTTACATACTTAAATTTGATACATTTGGTGCTTACTACATGCAAGTACTTTTCTAAATGCTTTACAAATGTTATCTTATTTAATTTTGTTAGACATCTTGTTTTAGTTGCTGTTTGAGGCACAGATAGGAAGAAACAAAGTTTAGAATATTTTCAATAGAGTCATCTTATAATATATACAATAATTATAAATTGTTGTAGACATAGGAAGAATATATATTGATTAGTACCTTGTAATAACTATGGATCTTATGGTGGATAAAGTAAATGGACAATAAAACATGTCTGCATTGACTATTAATTTGTTTCCAGGTACTCTCAAAATAAAGATAACTAATTAGGATTACTTCAAGCCATTCTACAGGCATATAATTTAAGAAAAAAATTTGGAGTTAAAAAGAACTCAGAGGCCAGGAGCAGTGGCTCATGCTTGTAATCCCAGCATTTTGGGAGGTCAAGGTGGGAGAATCACTTGAGGTCAGGAGTTCAAGACCAGCCTGGCCAACATGGCAAAACCCTGTCTCTACTAAAAATACAAAATTAGCCAGGCATGGTGGCACGTGCCTGTAATCTCAGCTACTCGGGAGGCTGAGGTGGGAGAATCGCTTGAACCCAGGAGGCGGGGGCTGCGGTGAGCCAAGACTGCACCACTGTACTGCAGCCTGGAGGACAGAGCGAGACTCCATCTCATTAAAAAAAAAAAAAAAAGAAAGAAAGGAAAGAAAAAAAAGGAAAAAAGAAAGAACTTATATCTTAATTCCAGTTCTATCATTTATTCAATTCTGTATTGTTGGACAAAGTTTAATAATGACAGTTCACTACAAACTTCCTTTCTAATACTTAAATCCTGTTATTTAACAAATAATCCCTCGTGTTTTGCATTCAAATTCAAGCAGACCATTCATTTTAGGTTTATGTATATTTCTGCCTCATCAGATGGGAATTCCTTGAGAAAATGACTTTATCTTATCACAACTATATCTTAATTGCCTGCCACAATGATTGATATAAAAGCAAAATTAATGTGTTTTTTAAATTAATGAATTATCAAAAACTATAATTATCATATAGTTTGAAACTTCTTACTACATTCAATTTCTTCCTATTAAAAATCAAATCTCAAGCTCATTCATATTTTTATATGGTATGTAAATGTCACCCTGAACTTTCTAAGGGTTCAAAGATGAATATGACAAGGAACAATTTTAAAAGGAGGCCAATATGTACACAAGGCAACAAATAAAAGGGAGAGGGAATATGAATGTTAGCTTTATATGTGATTAGCCAGCATTGTGTCTTTATAATAGAATATAGGCATCATATGTTATGGAAAAGATTCAAAAAGTTCATCCTAGGAGTTCTATATTGATCTCCCTATATCTTATATGAATTAGTAATAAAGAAATAGGTAGCATACACTGTAAAGAAATTATTCCTATTGTCCAAAGGTTTTCATTAAATATAAAATAAACAGACAAAAAATGGAAAGAACCCAAACGTCTATCAACTGATGTATGGACAAAGAAAACGTATTCTATCTATACAACCATAAAAAAGAATGACGTGCTGATACATGTTATAACATGGTTGACCCTTGAAAACATCGTGTTAAATAAAAGAAGCCAGACACAGCTGGGCGCAGTGGCTCACACCTGTAATCCCAGCCCTTTGGGAGGCCGAGGCAGGTGGATCACTTGAGGTCAGGAGTTCGACACCAGTCTGGCCAACATGGTGAAAATCCACGTCCACTAAAAATACAAAAAGTAGTCAGGTGTGGTGGTGCATGCCTGTAGTCCCAGCTGCTCTGGAGGCTGAGGCAGGAGAATGGCTTGAACCTGGGAGGCAGAGGTTGGAGTGAGACAAGGTCATGCATTGCACTCCAGCCTGGGTGACAAAGTAAGACTACGCCTCAGAAAAAAAAAAAAAAAAGCAAAACACAAAAGGCCACATCTGGTATGATTCCATTTATATGCAATGTCCACAGAGACAAAATGTAGATTAGTGGCTGCCAGGGGCCAGGGGCAATTGTGAGTGACTACCAATGGGTACAGTGTATCTTCCTGGAGTAACGAAAATTTTCTGTAATTAGAGAGTGGTGATCATTCACACTTTTGTGAATACACTAAAAACATGAATTGTACACTTTAAAAGGTAAATTTTAGGATATGTGAATTATATCTCAACTTTTAAAACAATAACAGAAAAAAAAAAGAATAGGCAATATGTTAGAATGTGCTTCTACTTGATTTCAGTAGGAACAAATTGATAAAAACAAAATTTTAAATGCCCAGGAATTAACTATGACAAATACACTGATTATTAAAATACACTGACATAGTAGGAGAAAAAAGGAAATAAATATAACCTAAATAGGGGAGTCATCTGGCCAAAATATCCACTATCCACTTTTCTACCTCACTTCCCCCTTTTCTCTGTCCCCTTTCTTCGTTACATCCCAAAATAGATTTCCATTTTCTAAAATATGCTTTATGCTCATATTTTTCCAGGGAGGATTTAGGAAAAGTTGAGCAAGTAAAAAGGAATAACGGCTGAAACCTAACCAATAATAAAGAGAAAAAGTGAAGGCCTCTTCTTTTTCAAAGAGGGAGACTTGCTGTGTTGTTCTTCAGGCTAGTCTAGAATTCCTGGGTTCAAGCAACCCTCCCACTAGTCTCTCAAAGTGCTGGCTGGGATTATAGGCATGAGCCACTGCACCCAGCTTCTTCTTTTAAGAAAAAAAAATCATAACTATAATTTTTCACCTAAAAGAAATAATCATATTGCCAAAATTTTGAAAAGAAGAAGAAAAAAAATCAACCATAACTTATAACTCTAACACAACTACAATTAGCAATTAGCATGTTGAGATGCATCCTTTGAATTTTCCCTCATTTGTAAGATGACCATGCTTTACACTTAATGTGTGGTCATTTTTCAGATAGGTATACAGTTTCAAAATATAAATGGAATGTACCTTTTATTAAATAATTCTTTTAACCATTCCTCCCATTGTCAGGGATTTGGTTGTTTTTACTTTTTTCACAATTACAAAGAATCCTAAAGTGAAGATTTCGATGCAGAGTATTTTTACTTATTTTAGATTATTTTCTTCATCTAAATTCATGGAAGTAGAATCTTGAGTCAAAGGATACAAAAATTTTGATAGTCCTTAGAAAAGCCTCTTCTAATAAGGGTTGGTTGTTACTCTAGGATTATTTATAAGTACTTCTAGTGATAAAACATTCTTCAGAACCATCCTAAACTTGCTATCTTACAAAATACTGCAACTAGTTCCTTGGTCATCCTAGAGATAACCAGTTATTCTTGCCATTTACTTCTATGTCATCATCTGGAAAATAAGTCTCAAATAAAATATATAATATTACAGTTTTTTAATGAACTCTTATACTGAATTACCATAATGCACATATTGTAATAAATGACATTTTATAATATGTATGCTTATCTATTGTCCTTAACCTGCAATTAGTAGTTAGGGTTACCAGAAATTTTTCCTCCATTTATTAAACCATCTTTTTCAATGTACAATTTTGTTACATAACTGAGAGTTAAAATCCACTTACATCTCTTTTACGTTGATCCTTTTTCAACTGAGCAATCTCTCTGTTTCTTCTAGACTCAGTCAGTCTGGCTTTCTCTTGTTCTTCTTTCATTTGCTTCATTAGGCGAACCTAATCAATTAGGTATATGCATCTATTGAAATTACTCTGTCACAGCATTCATTCAATCAAGCACATATATGGAAGTAAGTTCTTAGAATTCCGAATACTTAACATGGAAACATGCAGTTTTACTGCACATTTAAAATGGGCAATTCTTATTTCTGTGAGATTCATGTATTTCTGTTTCTAATACATTTTTATTTGCTTAGTATTCTATACTTTTTGTATTCAATGTTCAGTTGTTCTGCAACTTGAAATCTTGATACTTAGCTTACTATCAGTAGCTGTGTGACCTTGATCGAATTACTTTACCTCTCTAGACTTTGGTTTGCTCACCTATAAAATGGAAATAATATTTCCATAGCATTGGATTTTTGTGAGAACTCAACCAGTTAACACCCACAAAATGTATTAACAGTACCTGGCACTTGAATTCTCAACAACTTAATAAAGCACTTAATGATTTTTAGCTACTGTTGTTATTAGCAACTACACAACATAATAATCTAATGACGGTTATGTGCCTCATAACAACATTTAACTCAACAATGAACCACATTTAAGACAGTGGTTTCATAAGATTATAGTGGAGCTATAGTGGTTTATGTATTTACTATACTATACTTTTTATAGTTGTTTTAGACTTATGAAAAAAAAAGGTAACTATAAAGCAGCCTCAGGCAAGCCCTTGAGAAGATATTTAAGAAGAAGGCATTTTTTATCATAGGAGATGACAGCTCTACATGTGTTAATGCTCCTGAAGGCCTTCCAGTGAGACAAGATGGGGAGTTGAAGACGGTGATACTGATAATCCTCACTCTGCATAGGCCTAGGCTATTGTGTGTGTTTGTGTTTTAGTTTTAAAAAAAAGTTTAAAAAGTAAAAAATATAAAAATTTTAAATAGATAAAAGCTTACAGAATGATGATATAAAGAAAAAATATTTTTGTACGGCTATAAAATTCATTTTGTGTTTTAAACTATGTGATATTTCAAAAGAGTCAAAAAGTTTTTTTAACTTAAAATATTTATAAAGTACAAAAACATTACAGTAAGCCAAGGTTAGTTTATCACTGAAGAGAGTTTTTAAAATAAATTTAGTGTAGCTTAAGTGTATACAGTATTGATAAAGTCCACAGCAGTGTATAGCTATGTCCTAGGACTTCACGTTCATTGATTCACCCAGAGCAACTTATAGTCCTGTGACCTCCCTTCACGGTAAGTGCACACCTTACAGGCACACCTTGGAGACCTTGAAAGTTTGGTTCCAGAGCACCGCAAAAAGGTGAATTCACATTAAAGCAAGTCACACAAATGTATTTGCTTTCCCGGTACATATAAAGTTATGTTTATACTATACAGTAGTCTATTAGGTGTGCAATAGTATCATGTTTAAAAAAATAGTTTGCATGCCTTAATCAAAAAACTTAATTGTTAAAAAGAAAATGCTGACAGAGACACGAAGTGAGCAAATGCTGTCGGAAAAATAGCAGCAGCAGACATCCTCAAGGCAGGGTTGCCACAAACATTCAATTTGTAAAAAATGCAATATCTGCAAAGGTCAATAAAGCAAATCACAGTAAAATCAGGTATGCCTATAAAAGTGTACAATTTTTGGCTGAGCACACTGGCTCATGCCTTTAATCCCAGCACTTTGGTAGGTTGAGGTAGGTGGATCAGCTGAGGTCAGGAGTTCGAGATCAGCCTGACCAATATGGTGACATCCTGTCTCTACTAAAAATGCAAAAATTAGCTGGGCATGGTGGTGTGCACCTGTAGTCCCAGCTATTTGGGAGGCTGAGAAAGGAGAACTGCTTGAACCTGGGAGGCGACAGAGTGAGACTCCCTCTCAAAAAAAAAAAAAAAGTGTACCATTTTTTATCTTTTATACTGTATTTTTTACAATACCTTTTCTATGTTTAGATATGTTTGGATACACAAATATTTAGCATTGTGTTAAAATTGCCTAGAGTATTCAGTATAGTAACATGCTGTACAGGTTTGTAGCCCAGGAGCAATAGGCTCTACTATGTAGCCTAAGTGTGTAGTAGGCTATACCATCGAGGTTTGTGTAAGTACACTCCATGTTTGACAAATAATCACCTAAAAATGCATTTCTCAGAACGTACCATCATTAAGTGATGCATGGTTATACTATCCAAATCACTTCCATATTTGCTATTTTATTGCTATTTTAAGAAAACTACAATGACTTTCATGATAGACGTAAAGAATAATTGATTCCTCAACAAAAACAGATAACAGATCAGGATTTGCACACTCTCTTTGGACAGGGGAAGAAAATTAGTGCTTTTCTATGTATAGAATTGATAAACACTAAATGTAAGACAGTTATTAGCTATTGGAGAATGAGGAATATGATCAGGAAGAGATAAACAGAAGGCTTACTGTGTATCTGTAATGCTTAATATTTTAAACTAGATTGTGGATACAATGTTTGTTATGTTATTATCTATGCTTTCTTGCATATTTGAAATATTTTATGTTTTTGTTAAGCTTGCGTAAGAGTTGTAAGAGAAGAAATATCCATCAATGTCTAAGAAGCCCTGATGAGCACATGATTTTCAGCTACTCTTGAAGAAAGGCTTTGATGAGGAATGACTATCAGAAACAAATTCTAATTGCCAAAGGAAAGTACATCATTTGTAAGATTGGGTTACCTTTATCGAATACGGAAAGAACCACAATAGTTGTTTATTTTTTGTCCCAATTGCAAAATCATACTGAACATCAAACGTTAATGGAAAAAACAATCAATACCTTTGTTTTTTTCATTTCCATCACATCCTGCTGCAATTTCTTCAATTGCTTTTCATACTGAGACTGATTTTTAAGCAACCTTGCATGTTCTTTTTGAGCTGCTTGAAGCCTCTGCAGTTCTTTATTCATGGCTTGGAGTTTCTTTTCATATTCAGACCTAACTTTTTTTGCTTTTTCTTCTGAGTAAGATTCTACTGAGCCTAAATGACCAGAGGATATTTTTATATGTTTTTTGTGAGACACAGATTTTTATTTCACAGATTTACAGTCCATATCCAAAGAGAAGAGCTACTTCCCAAACATTCACATCTCAGAAGACTAGGGTGTCTTTCAATCATTCTCTCTTTATTATCTACTCTTACCCTGTTTAATGATTATTGAAGCTTATTCATTAATATGTTATGTTAAAATGTACCCAACATAAATCAAAACATTAAAACAACCATAAATTTGTATAAAGTGAGTAAACAGCCTAGGCAGATATCAGTATGAAAAAACAAAATAAATAACAATATTTAACATTATGAGACAAATTAACATATAATCTGGTCAGAAAGTATTTACAAGCTACATATAACTTTTAAATAAAAGACACAAACTGAGACTTGCAAAAACAAAACAAACAACCTTTTTTAGGTTTAATACGGCTTCTATCATTTTTTTCTTCTACAGGAAAAGATAGAAAACCCATTTTGAAGATTCAGCTTGAACTTTCATTTGAATTAAATATAATTCTTACCTAAGTTTTGAAGCACCTGGTCTCTTTCAAGCTGAGTGTCCCGAATTTTATGTTGCAGCATCATTAGCTTCTCTTCATACTGCTTTTTCAGAGTCTGCAGTCTTTTCTGGCTGTTTTCTAGTTCATCAATCAGCTTTTGCTTAATTGCAATTTCACAAGTAATGTTTGCCAAGTCTGCTTGATAATTGGCTATTTATAAAAGAAGAAAATAAAAATCCTGGTACTAGGTCAAAATATCAGAATTCTAGCTTTCAAACAAGAGCATAAAAACCATCAACTAGGTATTTTTATTCACTGATTAGTCATTAGAAAAGTTTCCTGGATAAACCAAAAACCAAAAAGGTGAATGAGATAAAGAGTGTTCACTTTGATCAAGGACAATGCTATTTGTACTCAGCAAGAATGGAAATCACACAATGACTACATCCAGCAAGAGAAGTAACTCATTTGTTTAGCACATAAGCCTTGGAAGGCAAATGTAGGTCAGTAGTCACAAAAGTTGCTTTCATCAAGTATGAAATGGAGAATGTTAAGAGTTTTCTGTCACGGTTTAAACAACTTCCCAAAATGAATTTTTGCCCTTATACCAAATGGCAAGTACCTTTTTCATCTGATTCAGAATCTGATTCATCAGAACTTTCACCACCCTCAATGTCATCTTCCTCCTCCTCCTCCTCCTCTTCTTCATCCTCATGATCACTCATTTCTTGACTTTCTTCCTAAAATGTGATTTGTGAAAATTAATAGCAAAATATTGGCAAAACAAACTGATTCTCTCATTGAGAGAGGCTGCTGGAGTACAAAATACAGAAACATAAAAAAGTTCACTTTTCATCAGTATAAAAATCCTTCCAAGATGTTAAGGTTATTAGATAATAATTTTGTCTTAAACCAAAAAGTATTTCATCTCTCATAGTATTCTATCCTTGCCTCTGCAACACAATGCTTTCACAATACATAAGATTGAGAGTTGTCAATATTTTACAGTTCATATTTCTGAAGAAACATCTTCAAAGAAATAGATTGAACAGAATGCATCATAAACAGTTCATTTTTCTACAAGTAAGTTAGTAAGTTATCAGTAACCAAGAACAACCAAACCTGGTGACTAAAACTGACAAGTTCATTCTTTCACACTTACCACTTCTAATTCATTGTTTTCTCTTTCTGAAGCACCCTTTTCTTCTTTCTTCTCTTGATCAGTGTCCGTATTATCCTCTTTACCAGCCACACTAAAAAAAGGAACATAAGGGTATGGTGTTAAAACAGAAAGGAAAAGTATTCACTTTTTTTCTCTCAGATTTTTAAAAGCCATCAATGATTTGTGAAAACAAACTTTAAATGTTGGTCACTTAAATGAGCAAAGCTATTCTACCTGACGCTTCAGAGAAAAATGGAAATTGCCAATCAGTCAATAGTGTAATGATTTATATCACTGGAGAAAAGCTTATTTTCAGAAAACACTGAGGAATAGATTATGCCTGAAAGCACGAGACCTCGACACCCCTAAGAACTAGTCACAGTAGCAGTCAATTAACTGGAATTCAAAAGAAATCAAACATTTTTGTTTTCTCATTTGAATACAAAAAACTTATCTCATATTAATACAATGATATAAAAAACTACATTTTTATTGATGTCCTAATACATTTAAGAGTATATTTAAAATTCCAGATTAAATCTGCCCACAGTAAGCTTGTCTACACTAGCTACATCCATCAGTGTGTTCAGGTCTCCTTCAGGTAGTGGCACAGGGAAAATTTCAGGGTCTGCCACAAGATTCACCTTATAAGTGGAGGCTCTCCTCTTCAGTTACCTAGTATCTACAACCATAACTACACACATATCAGGGAATGATTATAGCTAAATTAATTCAGCCCTGGTGGTCCTGAGGAAAAGAGAGAAGTTTTGTATACCCAAATAACTCTAATCCTTTGTGGATTTAGCAATCAACTATGCACAGACAGTACACTACTGATCACTAGACTCACATATTTAATTAAGCTAAATAACATTAAGAAAGTAAACTTTAAATGAATCTGTATATGAACTATTTCCTTTTGTGCTATAGTAGCATTTTAAAATCATTAAAAAGCACTTTGAGAGGCCGAGGTGGGTGGATCACGAGGTCAGGCATTTGAGTCCAGCCTGGCCAACATGGTGAAACCCCGTCTCTCCTAAAAATACACAACAGCCGGGTATAGTGGTGCATACCTGTAATCCCAGCTACTAAGGAGGCTGGGGCAGAAGAATCACTTGAACCCGGGAGATGGAGGTTGCAGTGAGGCGAGATCATGCCACTGCACTCTAGCCCGGGCGACAGAGTGAGACTCTGTCTCAAAAATAAATAAATTAGTTAATTAAAATAAATTTTAAAAATAAATAAATAAAATACTCAAATAATACAATATTCTCTGAGTAAAATTCCTCTAGAAAAAAAAACTTTTATCAGAATAGCTCAATAACAGCTATTGTTTTTTCATATATTCTTCTATATTAAATAATTTCCCTAATATATGGATTGATTTTTAGCTTTTAGGTTAAAAACTTAATCTCATTTAGGCCCTATTATAACTATAACTTTAATGATTAACTGTAGGTTTCTATTCTCAGAGATATTTTTGTACTGAGCACTATGAATATAAATACTTTTCCCTTATAAGTACTTTTCAGAGTTTGTCATTTATGTTTATGTTATTATTTATTTAGTGCCTGTATTTCTCACTAGGCAGTCAGCTTCCTAAGGGAAGGGATCATGTCTGTTGGCCTCCACATTACATCCCTAGTACCCAGGGCCTGGCACATAACGAATGTGAAGTAAGTGGTTTGTTAAATAAATCAATCCCTGTGACTACGCATAAGCACCTCTGTTTGAACATGCTTATGTATCTCATGTACTAGCTCGGTTGGAGTAGAATGGTACAGTTTTAAAAATGCATAAAGATGCATGAGAGACAGCATATATATGGCGAGAGAAGAAATTACAAGTAGGAGTACCAATATAACAGTCTTAACTGGAAATGAATGAAGTAAATTGTAACAGGGATCCATGAGTGCTGTTAAATCATTTGCATGGAGAAAAAATGAGCTTGAAGAAAACTAGGAACCACCTAGAAAGAACTTTTATGATAAACAAGAAATAATTTTGTGTGATATACTAAATGCCTCTCTTAGGTTGCTTATAACATACTAGGACTGCTGATTTTCCACCATCATGCAGTTCAAGCTGAAAATCTAGAAAGAAATTCCCCTTTCATCCATCATCAATTAAAAGGCCAGCAGTATGTACTCAAACAGTGCTATACTTGAGGTCTAGGTCTAAGGTGTAGGGCTAGGAAAGGACAATTTATTAGGGAGACATCTTCCAGCAGGTTTCCCAATTCCCTCTCCTGGGCAGTCTCCCTTTCTCACCTGTGACTGCTACAGAATACAGTTTTCATTATTCTCTGTTCTTGTATTACTTCAAGTTCCAACCAAATCGCATTATACTTAAGTTTACGGCCATACAACCACCTTATTTCAAACATTTGACTCAACATATCCTTCTACTCCCTACTCCAAGTCACTGATACCCAGTTAAACAAATGCTATCTTTACGTCTACATTAACTCATATATTATAAGTCATTCATGCCACTTCTGATGCAGAAAAATCAGCAGTCATAACTTTACATTATTAATTTAAAGGCTTAAGCTTTTAAAATACAAGTTGATAGTTATAATTTTTATACCTCAAATATTCAAGTTTTCCTCAGTAAACCGAGGCAAATTGATACCTAAAATAAGTATCTAAGTAGCAATGGAAGATATTTAAATTAGTACTTTATATAGAATCAGAAGCTTGGGAGCTGGAATTAGCAATTAACCCCTTCATTTGACAAACAAAAAGGGAACTGTGGCCTGGAGAAGTTAATCCCCTCAAGAGGACTAAAACCAGTTATCCTGACTCCCAGACCATTTCAAAGTTCAGTTCACAGACTGGAAGCATCTCCATCACTTGGGAGCTTATTACTTATGCAGAATCTCAGGCTCCACCTCAGCCCTACTGAATCAGAATCTGCATTTTATCAAAATCCCTAGGAGATCTGTACACACGACTATGTTTCAGACATTGTTCTGTAACCACCAAACCACTCTGCTTTTGCTATCCTTCAGGGATCATGTAAAGATGGAAGTAAACTCCTTTCACTGAGTACATTTAAAGGACTTGAGTATTTTATGGTGATTAAATGCTTCCACACACAATTTTAATGATGTATCTTATTTTGACCTTTCAGAATAGAAGAAATTTCACAATTTTAATGCCTTAATTTAACTCCAGTAATAAACATGTTGTCCTAAATATGTATTGCTTAGGTGAGTTAGGGTATGACTGATAAAAAAGTACAGAATACTTTAAAGAACCTATGGACTTATGGCATATAAGTATAAAAACTTTAGAATACTATATAACATACTAAATATAATTATAAAATATAAATTATAATTTAAAGAAAAACATTTTAAACTTTAAGATATTTAAAGTAAGATATTCATTTAACTAATTGCATAGTATAAGTTCTCAAGTTCTTAAGTAAAAGATGAATTTCTAAAGTAGGGCTTCCAAAACAGTTAAATATTACCTTGAAACTAGTATGTTTTCTTAATCATTTTGACTGTAATCTAGAGACTTGTTTAGGAAAATCTATGAAGAAAAGTTCTGATAAGGAAAATATCACTTGATCCTTGGTTAAATAATCCTAATTCTGAATCAGTAAAATGCAAATCAAGAATATGATTCTAAATTTTGCTCGTTTCCAATGAAAAAAGCAACTATCCTGTTTTTGATGTCCACTTCAAATACATTTTAAAAGCAAAAATTGTTTTTCTATTTCAACCTTAAGAATGTCTTATAAATCTTATTTGTAATCAGGCCACAGTTTCCTTTTGTTTGTTGTCATTTTAACGGTTTTTTTTCCAGTAAAGATTATATTAAATAAATAAGAGAGAGACAGAAGCCCACCCATGACTCAGCATGTGCTACAACAAAATGTCAATTTCCATTCTGCTCACAAGTTTCCGTAAGACAAAGAATTACTGTTGTTTTTTCTTTTTTAAATAAATCAAATGGCAGGGGTTTTAGGGCCATTTTTACCCTACAAAAGCTAAGTCATCATCATAATTATCATAGTTTATTCTGTAATCACATGAAACTGCCTGAATTTTAATTGAAGTATCTAGTGAAGATTTTATTCTTAAAAAGTACTTTCTTAAAAATGTATTACAGTGTTCTTGTTAGTTTTATAAAGTCAGCATTACTTTTAGGAGCACCCCAGCTTATCTAGTCTGAAACAATATATAATACTATAACACATTTCCTTGTGAATGGCAACTCAGTATTTAAACATTTTAATAGAAAACCTGGGAAATATTCCAACCTTCTTTCTTCTCGATTGCTTTCCTCAAGTTTCTGTAGCCTTCAAAATCACGAGGCACAGTATTGGAAGGCCAAGCCAATGAAGGACAAACCAGACAGTAAAAAGCGAAAGTGATAAGAAGGTAAAAATGATACATGAGCTTGAAGACTTTAAAATAAATTTTAAAAGATATCATCAAAGGACAATACACAGTAAAAAGGCAATACATTTGTATGAATAAAAAGTAAGTAGAAAATCAAGCAGCAATATATCTAAGAAGAGTATATAGACTATCAGTTGAAATTATGCAGCAGCAAAATGTATAGTCTCAATTTATAAAAGTTGATAAGGATTAGGCATTCTTGGATGCCTTTTCTTTAGTCTGAAGTGGGTCAATTTACTCAGCTTCCCCCAAAAAAGACCACTTTCAATAATATATTCTTTCTTTCAAGCATTTACAGAAGAATTTTTAATGGCATCATTAAAAGAATTCACAAAGTAATGCCTTTATACCATAATATGAAAATACCACTAATACTAAATTCTAGGATACTACTTTTAAAAACATACTTTCTGTTGTAATACACTACACATGAAAATCACTAAATCTAAAAAAAAAACTGATTTCAAAGTTATACATGAAATGGTATTGCAGGCAAATGAACATGGTTGTTATGATATCTGGGAAAAACTGTAATTTTATTACTTGAAAATAAAATTTCACATTGGGATTAAAGAGTTTGCTAATTATTATAAACTATTGAACGGGCATATCTATAAAGCAATAGTGGCAAAAAAAAAAAAAAAGAGGTGGGGAGAACTGTAGTACTTTCCATTAGTAAGACTGTTTTTTAACCAGAAACATATAAGAAATACCATGTGTACAGGGTTTTAAAGATAAAGAATATTCAATATTAAAACTTGGAGATCTTTACTCAGTGGAATGTACTATATACCAATATTTGTCATGTAGAAAAAAAGACAGATGTGCTAGGCTCTGGTTAAGTATATGGCAATTTTGATATAGAACACTTCTGCCCAGAATATTTTTCAGAAAATATTTTTCAGAATCATCAATATTTTAAAATTAAGAGACTGAATCAGAGGTATGAGTTATTTTATCAAGCCAGTTCTTTTCATTTTAATTTCATAATATATGTGCTCCCATGTGATTCTTATTTACTGGTCTGTGATTGTTTTCGCATCAACTTACATGCCGCCATTAGATGAGACTAGCAATCTTTCTGAGAAAAAGTCTACAAAGTAATATACAGTAATCAAACGGTCCAGTATAGTTATTAGAAAAAGCAAAGTAAAGCCACTGCCTAAGAAATCTGTGTTTCTAGAGTTTCAACCCAACACCACTAAATGCAAATCAGTGCAGTCTGATCGATGAGTGAAGTTTTTTTATGTTGCAAGTCATTTAAAGCTAGATATCCAAAAATATGGGATTTAATATGTGAATGGTAAATTTTCCTTGTCCACATACAAAAAATTCAAAAAACTTTTATGTCTACTCTAGGCTTATACTAATGATAATGAGCTACAATGGCTCAGAGAATGTGGTTTCTTCACGAAGAACCCAGATTTTCTATTTTCAATATAGAGACTTTTGTTAGCTTATACAAGAAAGCTATATTAAAATATAAAGCTGACATGAGCTAGCAAGTACATAAATTTTAGACACCTCCTAAATTGCCTTTTTAAAAACCATTACAATCAGTGGTTCAAAAAGACAATGGAGGGACAGAGAAATAAACTAATAATCTAACACCTCTCCCTAACTTAAAGGAGTTCAGTTTTTACTTCATTTAGTTCCCCTACAATGTTTCTTCTACAGTTAAAGAGAGAGAATGACAATTCTTGCCAACCATTCTAACATTTGTGTAACTGAAAGATATGCAACATAGTTTAATTGTTATTTTCTTACTATCTACACCTCTGGATTATTCTACAGCTCAACAGAAAATAAGCACAATAAGGTAGAGGAGCAAACCTTAAAACCTTACATATTAGCTATTAGTTATAGTTCTGATAAAGACTGATGCAGAAGACAGCATTTGTGGCATCCTTCTTAAACACAAATGCAGCTTCTGGCATTAAAATGATCCAGTTACTACTCTTCCTATCAACTCTTACATTGTCAGAGGCCTTGTAGCCACGGCAACCAAGAATCTACAACACAGAGCAATAAATTAAAAGACACAGAGCTTCCAAAGAGTTTGTGAATTCAGTGACAAGGAAAGGAGGCAGCTATAGAAGCCAGGACAGCTTAGAATAGCTAAATCCAAAGGTCAAGCAAGCCCCAGTCAGGTTTTAGAAACTCATAGGCACAAGAAGGTAAAAAAAAAAAAAAAAAAAAAACACTTTCCTACTCTTTTTTCATTAGATTATGCTGTCTAACATATTTTGTTGTATGGATTAATGTATCCTCTTTAAAAATTACAAACACCCCTACAAAGGAAGCTTGTTGGTTATCAGTCATTTCCACTGGTATGAATTCCTTTAGTCAAATGGCTTTGTTCCTGAGTTTGAATTTAAGGAGATCAGAGAAGTAGATAATTTTGAAATTGGGAGCACTTCGGGGTAGGGCAGAATTACATGAGAACTGGACCGCATAAGAGAGGAATGGATCAAGGTAGCATTGGGACACAAGAAGGTTAGTAAGAACGAATGGCTCAAGCAGAAATTCCCATTTTTCCCCCAAAGACTGGCCTACACCTATGAGAGGGAAAGAAGGTTCTTTCCCCTGTCTTGCCTTTTCTTGCCCCCTTCTGAATTATTCTTACCATATTATAAAATGGGCAGAAATCATTTTATGTGAGTGAGCTGGGAAATTTGGATACCAGGTATTTACAATGCTTGCTAGAGAAAAATTAGGCCAAAGTTTCAATTAATTTTTAACTGAATCTCCTGTATGTGTAAGGTTGAGGCAGACCCACATTTTGCAATGCCCTCTCTGACAGATAAAATAGATAAACATGAAGCATGGAATGCAACTCAATCAGAATCAATGCATCTAAACAGGAGCTATCACTTCCAAGGAGCTCCTGTGGAAGACTGAGCACTTTAGTAAAGCTGTTGTCCTTCTAAACATTTCTGGAACTCTAGGTATATTGTATGCTGGATTTTTTCAACTTGTAGGGAATCCTTTGGCTAAATGAGGGCTTAGCTACATTTTAAAAATAGAAATTGACATACAGTTAAAAGTTATTGGGATCCAAGTGTGATGAACAAAATGCTTTATCAAACTAAGTAAAACAGGATTGGTTTTCATTTTTTAATTCAAAAAAAAAATTTGATTATAGTATGGTAAAACCTATTAAATGTTATAAATTCTTATATGTAGCAATAAAAATTTATAAATTGGCTCTAAAAATGTTTATAGTTACATGGTATAGTACACAAGAAAATTTTTTAGATTCACATATTATATAGGTGTCAGTTTTATAAAATTATATAGGTGTCAGTGTACAAAGGTACACTACAGCATGTGTGAAAATGCTCTTTAAAATGTTTGCATATAGCACTCTATAGGTATATTAATTTTTAGAAAGTATTAATTTATTTTTCTCATTCTAAGCTATCTTTCATCTCTTATCTGGCTCATTCACAAATATTTTATCTCTAATTATGTGGTTTTTTGTTAGGAAATGAATTATTTTCTTCACTTAGGCTTTAATGTTTAAATCCAGTTGTTTGGTGAGTTCTTATCAGTATTAACATCTATTATTTTTATTGTAATAATTATCACAACTACATAATCACTGAATTAGTCACAACCACTATTAAAATGTTCAAAACAGCCTAGATTTCTATTGGGATCCTTAGTTGTTTTTCATTAGTCATATTCAACAAGTGATTAAGGAAATATCTCTAAATTTACCTCAAAAGGAAAAAGCAGTATCAGTTGTGACCTTAAAAAAAAACTTTGCTTATACTTACTTATTATTTATGAATACAAATGACCTAGATCTTTGAAAACAAGTCATACCATTTGACATTTTGACCAACTACAGAAGTGGATTTTACAAGTCAGTGATAAGTCATGTGCAAAAGTCTCAAGTTAATTCAAGCAGTAACTTGGGTAACACTAGTTTCGATAATCCTATGATCATTATTTCAGTTTTAATTGCCCTCCATAGGGGGAGAGCTAATCATTATACATTTCTTAATGCTGCCATAATCAATGATCTATGAAAACATCTAAGACATTAATATCTCAAGAATGCAATTTCAAATGCAATGCCTAACCATAATGTACAATTCCTTGTTTTAATTATTCTCTCTAAACTCAAGAACACAAAGCAGAGTTAATTTGAAGAATTTAAACTTCCAATGACTTTGATCAACTGGCTGCTCCAGGAAGAAATGCCTGGCTGCCTAAATACATTTCTAAATAAACTGAGCAAAGCAGCAGGTAGGCTAAACGTCTACATCAGTTCTACAAAGCATTCCCCCTGTAACAAACCAGGTGGCAAATCAGATGATTTTGCTTCCTTTTGAATATCTAGCCAAAAATGTTTAAATTTAATTTGACTGGCATGCTCAAAATATAGTCTCTGTAAGTAATCTGACTGCACAATAGAATCAGTGTGTAAACATGTAAAGAACTTACGAATATTTAACCACTTACACATTACAAGTGGTTAAATTTTCATTTTCTTCCTCTCCTTTGCACCCAGTTGATTTCAGAGGGACAAACTATCAGGATGCAAGAAAGAGAAAGCCTAGAACAGTGGTGAAAAGCCGAGTAACTCCTTGTTGGAAGATTCAAAAAGCCTGAAATAGCATAAATAATTTTCACATAATCAAATTAGAAGCCCTGCAGAAAATATTTAAGAGACCAAATGACATTACATGACATTCTGATGGATTAGTTTAGCCTTTAGTTAAACTAATCTAGACAGGGATGAAAATATCCATGAGACTACTTAATTGTATTAGGAAATGGGGAAAAAAATGAAAACACTGAGTTGTAATGGTACAGCAAGCTTTGCCGAAAAGCAAAATGAATGGAATGCAAAAGCAGCTATTTGAAGAAATAATAAAATAATTTATAATAGTAATTTTATATTGTCATGGTCTAAATAAAATTAATTACCATATTATTACAATTAAATCTATTTTTCTTACACATAAGTAGAGATAAACCATTAAAAATAAAGTTGTAGTTTCAGCTAACATAGTGATTTATTTCATATACTAAGGTACTCATGAAACTATGTATGCTCTTTATAATTGCAAATTAAAATACCCTGAAAAGGAAATAGAGATTCATTTAGCAGTGATTTTATAATCCCACCTTTTTTTCTTCCTCTTTTCTTTTCTCTTCAACTTCTCTAAATCTTTCTTTGCTAGGTCTATAATTTCAATGGTTTCTTTGTCTGAGGATAGTATAGTAGGAGAAAAAGTTGATGATCCACTGAAATATGGCGCTCTTGCTGTGGCTCTTGTCAAGTTTTTCCGAAGGTTCTCATTCACTGCTTCACTTTCTAATAATTTTGCTCTAGCAAATAAAAATATATTTGAATTTTTCTCTGTGGATAAAAATACATAACATAAAGTATACCACACTACCATTTCTTAAGTGTACAGCTCTGTAGCACTAAGCAAATCTACACTGTTCTGCAACCATAGCCACCATCCATCTCCAGAAATTTTTCATCTTCCCTTACTGAGACTCTATACCCATTAAATATTAACTTCCCCCTCAGCCCTTTTATCTCAGCTCTGGCACCCATCGTTCTACTTTCTGTCTCTGTGAATATGACTGCTCTAGCAATAAGGCAGGAACATTTTAAATGAGTTAATCTGCATGTTAAAAAGTTTTCCAAAATGCATTTCAACATGGCTACAGGATAAGGATTTTTAAACTAAATAAAATTCTCAAAAAATAATAAAAATAATCACAAAAGAATGCTCACGAACACTGTTTAAATTTTTTTCAAATTTCCTGATTGAATAATTATACATTTGCAATCATAATCTTAATACTCAAAAGAATTCTACATATTCAGATGCCAGTGGTAATTACATTACTTGAATTCTGGCCAGTAGGACATCAGTTGTCCTTGCTTGTAAACCTATTATTTAAACTTAAAAAATACACAAGCAGCATGCTCCCCTTAGTTTCAGTTCCTCATTCATCACACAATAGCAGCATTTCCAAAACTGTGCAAGGAATAAATTGTCAAATTTGCCCCAAACTGGCTGACAGACATCTGGCTCCTGAATATAGCATGGGAAAAGACAGTATCTCCAAGGAAACTTGAGTTTGAGAATTGAAAAAATTCTTTTGTTTGCTCAAGCAGTCCTAATAATGACAGAATAATGTACACACTGATCCTAACACGTGAAGACATCAAACAATGAAATCCTAAAAGAACCTAGATTATTGAGACTAAAAGGATTCAGAGAGTCCTCTAGGCCAATTCCCTTATTTCTATTTTATTTAAACCATCAAAAATACAACTATCTACTTACATATAATAGATTTTCAAGGTCAGTCTGGCACAATAGTGATTGAGACTGAAAAATAAGAAAAAAATACAACCTATCTCTCTCAACACTCTATTACTAAGCACTTTTGCCATATGTTCAAATATTTCAGAGAAAGATGCTAGATTATTTGCAACACTAAGCTCTGGAAGTCACAGTCAGCTCAGTGCTTTTTCATTGCCTACCAAAATTATTCATTCTACTCTTGAAATAGTTGAGACACGTGGGGTCTCACTATGTTGCCCAGGCTGGTCTCAAGCTCCCACCTCAGCCTCCCAAAGTGTTGGGATTACAGGCATGATCCACCCTACCTGGTCCTACACATTCTTTAATGAAATTGTTTTAGTATAAATGTGATACCATATGTGAGCAGAACAATTACAGTATTTTTAGATGGTTAAATAGCTGTGTACAAACTTCTAGGTTAATTAAATGACTTCAAAATTGTTTTAGAGAAAATTCACATAAAAACTCAAAGTTAAAATTCATGATTATCAAACAGTAGAAAAGTACAAACAATATATATTACACTTTTCTATATTTTTAATTTCTAGCACAAAGCCTGGGTACTTAATAAGGAATGCTAAGAATGAATGAAAATATAATAAATCAGCTAACAATAATGATCTCTATTTTAATGGGCTCCTTTATTATTATGTAATAAATAATGTGGGTATTTCATTTTAAAATTTACGTTTTTCACCTAATGTTAAAAGTCTGCATTTGGTAGGGGCATATCCAATGACTCTTTGATCCTAGTGCTAATAAAGGCCTTTTAGGGATTACCTCCACAAACTCCAGGGTACATTAACAGAATCTACTTTTTGTACGGCCTACAGGGAGACAAGTTGAGGATCTGGAACAAGGTATTAACCTACACCAGGAAAGATTTGATCAGCGATTGAACTCAAGGCCCATGAGTCATCTCTGTTCTCTAAATGGCTTAAGGAAGGAATAGTCTTAACTCAAGACTTAGAAGAAGGAAGATATTAGATGCTACTTTTAGCCACTAGAAGGAGTGGAAGTGGTTCTGGCAGTTTTCTAGGAAATAAGGACATTAGTCAAGCAATTTGCCTAACAGTGACAAAAAGCCGAGGTACAACCTTAGAATACAGAGTGGAGGAAAGGAAAGAGAGACTAAGAACTGGAATAGGCAATCCGCTTTAACAATTGGCAAGTGCCAAAGAAATAAAAGCGATAAGAGAAGCAGCCTAGGAGCAGGAAGAGGATCTTCAAGAATTAAAAAACAGAGCTATCAGTTGTGTCTCAAGGAGTGGTAAAATGGGGTCAACAAAATCAGGAAAGACTGGTCAGAGAACAAAGTTTTAGCAGTAGGCGGGGAACAGTACTGCCAACAAGGGGTAGAAACTGCAAGTCCAGGTTGGCTGCTGAGCAGAACTAGGATGTAGTGCCCAAAGGTCTCTGTCAAAAACGTGAAGCATGAAAAATTATATATATATATGTACTATGCATAACATATATAATATATATGTACACATATACACACACAGAATAAAATTATACTTGAATAACTATATTGCCACATCGGCATGTGTTTTCATTTGGTTTTGCTTTTTGAAACATTTAAGAGATCCAATGTGCCTTGTGTAGCCAGAAACAGTGGCGATAGTACTTGCCACAGTTTGAGAACCTCTAGAACAGCCAGAGGAAGAGAAAGAGAACACAAATACAAGACAGGGTAACTGTGAAAGACGATCTCCTCCCATTTGCTTATGTTCTACAAATAGTTAGCAGAAGTGAGATTTGAACTACTTAGATGCTCTGTCATGGAGCTGACTGGAGTTTTCCTTCAAGAAAAATATAGCTCAGTCATCACAGCAAACCATGGAACCTGAAAATATTATTGACTTAACCTTCTTTCCCAACCCTATTCCCCAAGTCTACTCCCCTCCACATTCCTACACCAGGCATGGGCATCCTTTAACTAAATTCTGTCATTCTGTTTACTACATGTGATGATTTATGTATGCTGCCCAACCTAGAGTGTGAACTCTTTATGTCATGCTTGCCCCCAGCCCCAGTCATGGTATTGACATATGCAAGTATGTGTGGCATGTTGTATGAAATGTGAATAGATGTACCACAGAGGGGCAGGCAAATTAGTAGGTATGCCATGATTTACATGCAGGAATAGCTAAAGATATAAAAGAGAACAGGAGATTCAAAAAATTGGAGATGACGTGTAGATATTGATCTATTCCCAAGTGATGGGGAAAGAGGCATATGAAGGAAAGGCATCAAAGATAACTTCAGCAACATAAATTTTGCCTGTTTCATATGTCAAGTTAGGTAAGCACCCAATTTTGGGATATAGCAGTAAGAGTAGGAGAATAATACGGGAAGAGAGGGGAGGAAAGGAGCTTGGAATATGACATCAAGGGAAAGGTAAGTAACAAGTCTCCTAAAGTTAACCTAACCAAAGGGCTGAAATATCACCATGGACAACTGCCAAACAATAAGCTCAACAAACAGAAATATTATAACATTGCAAAATTCAAAAAACCATATGCATTATATGTTACAGAACATGAACTATACCTGAGATCTTCGATTTCTTTTATATAACTATGAATCATATTACTAATCTCCTCATTTCCTTCACCTGAAAGACAAAATATGAAATAAAAATTTTCCTTTAAATTAAGACTTCAACAAAACAGAAGAAAAAAAAGTCGGGAAACAAAACAGTAATTTTTTAAAACACAATGCTTACAGCAAATTTTCTACCCTTTATTAGATGGGCAGACCATAAGATAGTATTATTATAAAGGGAATATTCTGTTTATATAAGAATTTATTATTTTTTGAAATTAGGTATTTAGCTTAAAACCACAGACTGTATACACAGAGACTAGCATTTCTATTTCAACTATGCTAGGTAATTAGTGAACACAAAGAATGTTCCCTACCCTCCAGAAGTTAATCCCTCACTTATCCCACCCTATGCGCATACCTGCTCTGGCAAGAACGTGGTTGGCCTGATCACTAACAAGCTGTGTAATTCTGGACCTCAGTGCATCAACCGTCTCTTGCATGGCTTTAATTCTTACACGCAGGTTATTATTTTCAGTCTGTAGCATAGCATTCTCATGGAACATGTCATTGATGCTTTCCACACCCTCTTCGTCAATTATTCTTTTACCCTAGTAAAGGAAAACAATGTCCTTGTTGCTTGAGGAGTCAAAAACACAAGAGTTTTGCTTAAGGATACTCTATAACTATACATTCTCCAACCAAGAGCACTTTTATCTTACCAACCCCAAGGCAAAAGAAATCCTTTCCCCTCTAGCAGAACACTTCACAATGTATTTGTTACTAAAGAAATTGATTAGCCAGGTGCAGTGGCTCATACTTGTAATCCCAGCACTTTGGGAGACCAAAGTGGACAGATCACCTGAGGTCAGGAGTTCAAGACCAGCCTGGCCAACGTGGTGAAACTCCATCTCTACTAAAAATACAAAAATCAGCCAGGTGTGGTGGCGGGTGCCTATAATCCCAGCTACTCAAGAGGCTGAGGCAGGAGAATCATTTGAACCTGGGAGGAGGAAGTTGCAGTGAGCTGAGATCACACCACTGCACTCCAGCCTGGGTGATAGAGGGAGACTCCATCTCAAAAAAAAGAAAAAAAAAAAAAAAAAAAGGGTAGGAAAGCTTTTGAACAAACAGTTGTTAGGTTAGACTGAACATAGTTAAAGACTGCCCACAAGGAAAACTAGAGACTCCTACCTCCAAAAGGAAGGAGGACACTATTATGACAACCAAGAGATTCCAGAGACACATATGTGTAAGGCATTATTGTGTTCAGAAAGTGCCAGCCTTAGATGTATCACAAAATGCAGTCAAACTCATTAGCTTACTGTTTTGTACTCCATGAGCTCCATCTGAAGTCGTGTGATTTCACTACGAAGTGCATTGATTTGCTGACTAGCTCTGTCCTGATTGACCATCACCTTATTCTTGATATTTCTAGCTCGATTGGCATATTTCAGGGTGTTTAACGTTTCCATAAAGTCTCTGTCTGAAGGGCTGACACATGCTATCATGATTGTTTGGCTGAAAGTTACAAATAATAGTTAGGCTTACAGATAAAAGCACCTAAAATGCTAAAATAATCATTTTTAAACTCCTGACATTTGAATAGTATATTCTCTTCAAGATACCAAAATATTGAGCAAATTTAAAAGCCCCTGTACTTTAAGACTATCTTAAAGAAAAAGATTTTGTTTACTTTGGGGAAATACATTGATATTACTCACCTTTGACCTTGAGAAAGTATAAGCACATATATTTATTTCTTACCTCTTTGCTAAAAAGATTTGAAGCAGTGCACGCAGTAATTCTAAAATTAAACTGACTACAATATATTATATTGAAAATAAAAAAACCACTTCTTTCATTATTCATTTATTCTTTCAGTATTTTAAAAACTTATTCGTAATCACCTGTATGCTGACTTTTGATGTCAGCAAAGAATTGTACACAAAATCGAATCACACTGGAACAAGACGAGAACTTAGTATATTCTTGTGTTTCATTATATAAACTGTCATTTGTGACTGAATGATCAGAGTTCCAGTTTCTGGCCAGATTACACAGGAAAAGTGGGAAACATTACTTTATGGTCATGCTAAATTGATTTAGCCACCAAAGTTTAGGATAGTGAAATGCTAAGTATGCCCCAATTAGTATGTTTGTCAATAAAGCAGACATGGAGATTCTAATAGACACTTACAAACTAACTAAAAGTTGTGCAGGAACTGCAATTAAGGAGCAGTCTACTTATCCTGGTAGAAAAATCAACGCCTATCAATCATAATCTTAGCCTCCTAGTCTCCTGCTTCCAATCTTTTCTTTCTACAATAATCTCAACACAGTACTCGTAGGTACCCCTTGTCCCATTCCATACCTTTTCCCTACAACTCTTGCTTACCCTTACTGTTACTATTATTCAACAATCAACTAAGGTATCACCTAATCCAAGAACCAAATCCTCAGTTTGTCTGTACCCTTTCTGCCTCCTCACACCTTTTGCATATCTCTTTTGCATTCATTATATTATTATTATATTGAAATTTTCTAGACCCTAAAACTCTTAGACTTTAAATTCCTAAAGGACAGGGATTATCAAGTTTTATTTATCAGTGTACTTCTAAACATATAACACAATATTTGAACCAGTATTAGGTCATTAACAATTGTTTGTGGTGTGTGTCATGTGTATATAATATTTACTGGGGGTCAGAAAGTTAAAATAATTCATGCCATTTTAGTTTTCTCTTTTGATAAAGAGAATAAGATAATTCAGTAAGTGTGAGGATTATGGATGCTGATTAGAGAACAGGGAAATTTGAAGTGTGGTCCCCAGTCTAGCACCGGTCTGCAGATTATTTTTACTTACGTAAAATTGGGGAAAATAAATTTATATTAGCCTTCTTTGATCCACACAGATATATACATCTATTTTTCATTTCTTTACAAAAAATGTGTAAAGTAGTGCAGAAATTGCAAGTAAGCACTTTAGAAACTTCCACAACACTGGAACTTCCTGTAATCAATGACCTCCTCTCATTGAATGTAGATCAGTTCAAGTGTTTTCAAACTCCCATGGTGAGTCACAAATGGGGCAAGCTCTGTATGGTCATGCAAAATATTAACCTACCACAAATTAGAAAGAAGGGAAGGACTCGCCTTTAACAAATATTTTGAGAAGTGCTGGGATCAAGGGCTTAAGAAGAATAGTGAAAGTCAGGAATGAGAGGAACTGGCAAGGATCAACTGTATAGGGAAAATGTCATATATTAAACAAAATCCAAAATATATAAATTTCACCAATGATTCTGTTTATGAAAAACTCAAAGAAAATATTAAAGCTATTTATTTTAAAAGTTCACACAAAAACCACAATTCTGTTTTAAAGTTAACTATATCACTTAAATATTTTATTATATTTTATATTTCCTATAAATTAAGTTATACTATACATCTGGAAGAAAATACATCACAATGTTAGCAGTAGTTACTTCTAGGTATTAGAATTTTTTTTTTTTTTTTTTTTTTGAGATGGAGTCTTACTCTATCACCCAGACTGGAGTGCAGTGGCACAATCTCAGCTCACTGCAACCTCCATCTCCTCGGTTCAAGTGATTCTCCTGCCTCAGCCTCCCAAGTAGCTGGGACTACAGGTGCCCACCACCATGCCCAGCTAATTTTTGTGTTTTTGTTAGTAGAGATGGGGTTTTGCCATGTCGGCCAGGCTGGTCTTGAACTCCTGACCTCAGGTGATCCGCCCACCTAGACCTCAAAGTACTGGGATTACAGGTGTGAGCCACCATGCCCAGCCAGAAATATAACTGATTTTTATTCATGCTTTATACTTTCCTGTATTTTCCAGAATTTTTGCCATAAACTGGTTATGATGTTTATTAAACACTGTAAACGTAAAAAAGCCAGCTCGACTTTTTAAAAAGACACTAAATTATGCACATAAACATACGGAGCTTATTTTCAAAAATATCTAATTTTTCTTTTAAGATTAATTTGTATAAACTTCAAAAAATGAAGATATTTTGCTTTCCAAGGCTTACACAAAGTACAGTGCTTTTGCACTAGGAATGCAATCCTAAAATTTTAAGCAAAAATTGAGGCACACGAAGAAAGGAATTAGAAGGGGTCATCTCCCTTGAGAGATTACTACCCATTAAGGAAATGGGTGAGGAACATGAGACTATTTAGCTGTACCTAAAACTCAACAGAAATTCAAGACCCACAGTGAAAAGATTTTAGACCACTTGCAAGGTAAGCAAACTCTCAAAAGTATTGAAGTTTTCAAGAGTTAAACTTGTAAGGGGAGGACATTTATCATCTCTGCTTTGTTTTATAGTTAAGAAATAAATATAGGAAAAAGCTACAATTTAGAAAACCTGAAAAAATTTACACTTGGCTGAAAAAATGAAAATTTTTATTCTGTTTTAATAAGACCCCTCTTGATACTGAAAATGTAGAACACAAGCAAGAGATACATTATAGTGGAAAGAAAACTGCATTCATACATAGGATGTGCTGGAAGAGACATGAGTTAAGAAAAATGCCAATATTACATAAAAGGAAGAAACATAAAAATGACAATGTTGTATTCTACAAAACAGAACTTTATTTCTTTTTTCTTTGAGACAGAGTCTCGTTCTGTTGCCCAGGCTGGAGTACAGTGGTGCCATCTCGGCTCACTGCAAGCTCCGCCTCCTGGATTCATGCCATTCTCCTGCCTCAGTCTCCCGAGTAGCTGGGACTACAGGCGCCTGCCACTATGCCCGGCTAATTTTTTATATTTTTAGTAGAGACGGGGTTTCACCGTGTTGGCTAGGATGGTCTCAATATCCTGACCTCCTGATCTATCAGCCTCGGCCTCCCAAAGTGCTGGGATTACAGGTGTGAGCCACCACAGCCGACCAAAACAGAACTTTATTTCTAAACCAAATGGATTATAAACTTAAAAGGATTTAATACTATCCAAAATTATTTGGATAATAGTTGTTGATATGGTGTGGATCTGTGCCCTTGCACAAATCTCATGTCAAATTATAATCCCCGATGTTGGAGGTGAGGCCTTGCGGGAGGTGATTAGAGGTTGGGGGCAAATTTCCCTCTTGGAACTGTTCTCATGATAGAGTTCTCAGAGGATCTGGTTGTTTAAAAGTGTGTGGCACCTCCCTCTTCTTCCTCCTGCTCCAGTCCTGTGAAGTGATCACTCTCCCTTTGCCTTCCACCATGACTGTAAGTTTCCTGTGGCCTCCCTAGAAGCCAAGCAGATGCCAGAATCATGCTTCCTGTAGAGCCTATAGAACTGTGAGCCAATTAAACCTCTTTTCTGTATAAATTACCCAGTCTCAGGTATTTATGGCAGTGCAAGAACGAACTAACACAGTTGTTCAAAAAGAAACCTTGTAAGTTTAAATACTAGATTTCTTGTATAGCATCTAATAATCTTTTCAGTAAATACGATGTTACATTATTGCAAACACTGTAAAATAGATTCACTGTGGTTGTTGGTAACTTGTTGAATTGTGCTATGATTGAATTTAAATGCCAAAAATGTTTCCATTTGTAAAGCCAACACGTTTACAGAAGGGAATACATTACCCACTCCGCCGACAAAAAAAAAAAGAGCTGAAAAGACATATTAGAATGATGCAAGATATGAGAAAGAAGAATGTCAGTGATACTGGCAAAGTTAATAACCAGACAACACTCTGTATTTCATTCAGTGGACATTAAGAAGATTTTTCTACATATAGAAAAAATTTGAATTTTTAGAAGATTTTGTAAAAAAAAAAAAGAAGTACCAATAATATTTAAATTACCTTGTAATTACTTAGAAAACAGTATTTACTTTTTCAACAAAATTATATTAGGTATCTACTCTGTGCTAAGTACTTAAAGCAGAAGCTATGATAAGAGAGAAAGTCCACATACTATTGACTTCATATATAAGCTAAGTGACCTTGAATAAATTACTTAACCTCTCTAGATTTCATTTTCCTTATCTAGAAAATAGAATAATAATACCTACACCTCAAGGGATGCTAGAAGGATTATGTGAAATAACATACAAAATTATTCACACATTTCAGATTCTTAACAGTATAAGGATTAGTTCCTCATCCTATTAGTTTGCTTTATAATTACAAGCTTACTTAATAATGAATAATCAAAACTCTGAGTGAAGGATAATCATCTACGCATACCTATTACCCCCAAGGGAATCCTGTAGTAGTCTCGTTAGCTTGGAATCTCTGTAGGGGACATGTGTGGCCCTCTTGCTTTTGTCTCCCAAGGCACTAATGACATTGCCAAGCGCCAACTAAAAGAAAGAGAAAGAAAGACGGCAAAATGATACAAATTTATTAATTATAACATTTTTAAATACAGAAAGCTTACAGAGAATAAAATAGAGACATAATATAATTAAGAATATTTGTTTGGTTTTGTTTTACATTTGTAATCAACGCCACTGAAAATTTGCTACATAAATATTAGTACTATATATAATACCTTATGTGTATATTAGTACTATAGTAGTAAGTACTAATTCTTTGAAATAGAAATAAGATTGACAACTTTAGTTATCCCTAGAATTATCAGAGCATCAGGTTATGTCCCCAGAAAATTGTCCATTCATGTTACAAATTCTTCTCCTCAACTCAATGAAAAAATAAAATGTTTAGTTAGTTTAACAGTTTGGGGCCGGGCGCGGTGGCTCAAGCCTGTAATCCCAGCACTTTGGGAGGCCGAGACGGGCGGATCACGAGGTCAGGAGATCGAGACCATCCTGGCGAACCCGGTGAAACCTCGTCTCTACTAAAAAAATACAAAAAACTAGCCGGGCGAGATGGCGGGCGCCTGTAGTCCCAGCAACTCGGGAGGCTGAGGCAGGAGAATGGCGTAAACCTGGGAGGCGGAGCTTGCAGTGAGCTGAGATCCGGCCACTGCACTCCAGCCTGGGCCACAGAGCCAGACTCCGTCTCAAAAAAAAAAAAAAAAAAAACAGTTTGATGTGAATTTTCATTTTGCAATACAGTTCCCATGGGAAAAGAAAATCTTCTTTAATCACAGCAAAAAAAATCAGTATTATTTCTCTGAACAAGGTATTCCTATGCAAGTATATCTATCCTTAGAAATACAATAAGATGGGCTGGGTACGGTGGCTCACTCCTATAATCCCAGCACTTGGGGAGGCCAAGGTGGGTGGATCATCTGAGGTCAGGAGTTCGAGACCAGCCTGACCAACATGGGGAAACCCCATCTCTACTGAAAATACAAAAATCAGCTAGGCGTGGTGGTGTGTGCCTGTAGTCCCAGGTACTTGGGAGGTTGAGGCAGGAGAATAGCTTGAACCTGGGAGGTGGATGTTGCAGTGAGCTGGGATCACAACACTGCACTCCAGCCTGGGCAACAGAGTGAGACCCCGCCTCAACAAATAAATAAATAAAGAAATACAATAATATATGTGTTAGCATCCAATTATTTAAAAACTAGTCAAATTACAGAACTCTGTAGTCACTCCTCCTGCGACCCTGCTGTTTTTCCTACTGTCACTGAATTATCACCTACAAGATAAACATTATCCAAAATGTTGCTCACACTAGCCATCAGTAATGCAAACATCTATAATCATAACTTTGTTAGGAAAAATAGATCATGCAGGGAGTGGCAACAGGATCACACTTTGTCGTCATTCCCCCTTTTCAGAGCGGCTACCGTCATAAGCAATGGTAATACTGAAACTCTACTAGATATGTCTCAACATGCTTCAAGAGCCTAAAGAGGAAAACAAAGCAATGGGCTTTTGTCTTTTCCTAACAACATAAATGTAAATACCACCATGATTGTATCTCCTAAGAAAGTCAAAACAATACACAAAGTCCAGAATCCAGGCACGCCGTTTTACACAACATTCATCCACATGGTTGGACCATCAAGATGAGTATTGGAGTTGGAAGGTCTGGCTCTCTCTAATCAGCCTTGGTTGATAATTTCCCCATAGAAGGGTCATAATCATATAGGAGCAAATATTGGGGGCTGATTAATGGGAGGAAAGCAGACACCACACACTCTGAAACTGCCTTTGCAAAATTCGTATCAGTGAGAAAAGCATGACAGTGAGGGAGATCCGACTTAATCCACTCCATCTTGCCTTTAATTTCTAAACTGCCCTTGTTCATCCCTATGCTGAGCTAACTAAAGGAGGAATTTAGTTTATAGTTTAAAGAATTTTGAAAAGATGATAACAGCCTTTTCCTGAAACAACCCTTCTTCTTCCCTGGGGACCAGCAAGCCTTTGTAAAACTAACAAATTGGCCACAAGATTATTAGAAATTACGATTTAAGAGTCATGCAGCCAGAGGCCACGAGATTCCTAACCTCCCCAATTGCTCCTATGGATAAGATTACTATTGTAAAACCTAAGATTGGTGTTTGGATATTTTTTCAGACCCTGCATTCTGATGCACCAGCTGGCACCATGCAGACTGGTAATCTAGCTCAACCAGTTCTGTAATCCCACCCAGGAACAGAAGACAGCAAGAAGAACCCACTGAGACACCCTATGACTTCACCTCCACTCCCCACTCCCTTAGCCCCCTCATTCACCAAATTATACTTTAAAAACCGCAGTCTCTGAATTTTTGGAAAGACTAATTTGAGTAATAAAACTCCAGTCTTCCATTTAGCTGGCTCTGTGTGCATTAAACTTTTTCTCTATCGCAATTCCCCCATCTTGATAAATCAGCTCTATCTGGGCAGCGGGCAAAAAGAATCCATTGGGTAGTTACAACTCTGATGCTACTGGCGTCACAGAAATTTAGGGATGTCATTACATTTGTGCAGGCACAAATTTCCAGTTTTGTAATGAAGATAATAAGAACATTTTAATGCACAAAACTTTGCTCTAAAATATTTCCTTCCATATAATGAAGCTTTATGCTCACTAAATCACAAGGAGTTTTCCAAACAAAATGCCATTAAGTGGCATGGTATTAAAGTTAATTTTTAATATAACCTAGAAAAAGTATCACTTTTAAAAAATCATTACCAAAAAAAATTATAATTTCCAAAGTCAATAAAATGACTGTCATAAAATATTATCAAAAGGCTACTTTGAAAGTCTTCACTCATGAAATAACTTAATATTAAATCTTGGGCCAAGCGCAGTGGCTCACGCCTGTAATCCCAGCCTTTTGGGAGGCTGAGGTGAGTGAATCGCATGAGCCCAGAAGTTTGAGACCAGCCTGGGCAATGTGGCAAAACCCCATCTCTACAAAAAATACAAGAATTATCTGGGTGTGGTGGTGCTGGCCTGTGGTCCCAGCTACTAGGGAGACTGAAGTGAGCCCGTGAGGTCAAGGCTACAGTGAGCCATGATCGCACCACTGTATTCCAGAGTAGGTGACACAGTGAGACCCTATTTAAAAAAAATAAAAGATAAAAATAAATAAATAAATTGATTTTGACAATATATTGTTAAATGTGGAAAGAATTTTTCAAATAATTTGTATATCTATAATTTTATGCACATATAAATTTTAGTACAACTAAATTTATACACATGAAGAAAATCTGTAATATAAAAAAGAGAAAAAAGCGTGAGGAGATCAGAGATTCAGTGCATTACTAATAACTGTTCTATAATTTTCATTTCTCAGTTCAGTGTCTGAAGGATTTCCATATGGATATTATAAATTACAAAAGACAAAAGGACAATAGAAAAGCTCTGATATATTCTCAGCACAAAGCCTTAATCTTACAAGTCCACAGTTGATAGAAATGCCTTCTTTTGCCCTCTCGCCTGTAGCTCCAGTACGCTTCAATCTTTCTGACCCTGCGAGATCAACAAAATGGAACTTTGCAGTCAGGGTTTCAAATTCATTCATCTGTGCTGATTCAGAAATAATTTTATTATCAGTTGCACTGTCCTGAAATTAAGAAAAATAATTGAAAATATTTTATTAATGTAACATTAAATATCCTCCTACTCTACCTTGAGCTCATCCCACGTACACATATAGGCACAACCAAATAAATAGGCATAAAGCCAAATAAATAATAAATTCAAAAAATGTCTGCTGGCAATTAGAAATTTAAAGGCAGAAAAAGCCTGGATGTTCAGAACTCAACTATTATCAACTGAGGCTTTGCTTATGCTAATGAAGGGAAAACTACAGCATATAATCCTCAAAAGCAAAGGGTCTCAGGTGATGACATCCAACATATGGCCACACCATCCTTTTTGGTTTTTCAGACATGTATACAATTTTTTATTTCAAAATCTAACATGGCTGACCAGCTTCAACTTAACTAGGATCAGAAGAGGAAATCAGAAAAAGGAATGACTAAATTAACTGAATTTGGCTTAAATATATTCTCACAGAATTCATGTGGTTTTAGGGAGATAAAAATTGAAAGTTTAAGAAATTAGAATTGATAACTCACAGCATCAATTTGGGGACACACTCTGGTTTGACACACATGAATGGTAAAAATGGCATGTGAACGAGAACTCTGAACATTCATCTGGGTACTGGCAGTTGTCCGGGATAAAGCACCCAACTTCAAACACTGCATCATCTGAAAAAGCGGAAGAAACAAAGGACTTTACTTGAACAATAAACAGCATACTATACAATCCAAAGTCTGAGGTAATGGCTAAAACCCACCATGTTAAGGGATATAAAAGATGTGGAATTTCACATTATTAGTTTAGTTACAGGCACTTTTTGAGATGAATTTCTCAATATAATAGTGTATTATTTTTTAAATAGAAGAAAACACTGAGATTCCATTGTTTGCCATTTGCTGACATTTGCAGCTTCCATTCCAAAACTGTTACAGTAGAACACTCTGGTACAAACTGAGCAATAACTTGAATTATTCAGGCTCTTCTCTATCTTCCGTTAAAATTATTTTTTGTAATTTTTCTCAACAATCTCCCACAATCTCCCTCTAGGAGCCATGATACAGTTCTACATAGGTTAAAGCAAAAAGTACAAAAGGATTGTGGTCTCATCCTTCACCATCAATTGTCTAACCCTCTTTCTCTAGCTGTGAATGAAAGCTATTCATAAATTTTCTCAGATTCTTTTGATGCTGTGACAACTATGCTGACTTTATCATAACCCTGATATTTTTATACTAATATTCTGATTTTTAAAATGTGAGGAAAGAAGACAAGATTTTAATTCCATGTCATGCTTCAGGATATAAATTTCATATCTTGATCTTAAGCAGACTATCAGCAAAGCTCACTATTTAAACAAAGCCAGCTATGCTCTGTTTTAACTACAATATAAATATTACCTCTGATTCTGTATTCACAGTACGTGTTGTAACGCCCACAGTATAAATTCCTCCAGTTGAATCTTCATGAATTCTTATATTTGATTTTTTATTTTTTGCATCAATATCACGAGTGGTATCAAATAAGTCAAGGACCTCTTCATTATAGAGCTATCAAAAAATATTAGAAATCTAATTTTAGCAGAAATCGTCTGGGTAGTTGTCATAACAACACATTACATAATGTTTTCCTTCATACAGATTTTTAAAGTACTTCAAAATGACATATATTTTTTTCAAAATAACACATAAAAATGAATGAGGCTATTATTACAACAATTATAAGCAAATGCCAGATTTATTTACATAAGTGACTTAATCATGACAAATGGGTTGAGGACTAGCTAAAATGATCTAATAATCCTTTGCAAGAGATAATTAAATATTTACAAATACAAGCAAACCCTAGAAACACGTGCCAAATGTAGACAAATCTTAAGCTTCAGAATATTTAAAGAATTTTTACTACTTGAGCTAAAAACATATTTCCTATTGCCCTGAAACCTTTCTTAACGAGTTGAAAAATTAACACCTAGCATGTTTGCAAGGTCAGCAACAGTATTAGTGTTCCTGTATCAATAGAGGCTGAAAAAACCCAGATACCTCCTTAAAAGAGGATACACACACCTGTTTTTCTATCAATATGTTTTAAAGTTACAATGCCTAATATCATTTTGGAGGGTGAAAGGGAAGATGGAATAACACTGTTTCTTTTCTTTTTCTACCATCATTTACTTTCCTTGGGAACACACAGTTATATTCTCTTTGGTTTTTACTAAATAAGAATGTCCATTAAAACCAGCAGAAAAAAAAACTGATATTAATTTTTCTATTTTGTGCTACACAATGCTGAGTAAAATGTTTCATCAATGATGAAAATGATTAGCTCATGGATCAGGTAATTTAGACTAAATTCTCTTTGCACCAAGAACCCAGAATTATGCCACTGTCCACCAAAGTGCAATATTGGCTCAAATCCTAGATGTCCTCTTAGTGTTACTTTCCTTCTATCACACTAGACAGCCTAAATTAATCCAAAGCCACCACCACCTTTGGACATTATATCAAAACATCTGTCTACCTATGCAAGGATAATAATTTCTTCAGCCAGATAAGTGCTACAATCTGAGACCTATTATTTCTCACATACTTCCCCTACTTTTGGCCTTAGTCATTAAGTTCCCACCACTTTGTAAGCCTGTCTAAATTACAACAGTAATTAACCTTTATCTATTGATAAAAATAAGTACTTACACCTGTCATCCCAGCACTTTGGGAGGCAGAGGCAGGTGAATTGCTTGAGGCCAGGAGTTCAAGACCAGCCTGGGCAACATGGCAAAACCCCATCTCTACTAAAATTACAAAAATTTGGTTGAGTGTGGTGGCGCATGCCTGTAGTCCCAGCTACTCAGGAGGCTGAGGCACAAGAATCGCTTGAACCCAGGAGGCAGAGGCTGCAGTAAGCCGAAATGGTGCCATTACACTCCAGCCTGGGTGACTGAATGAGACTCTATCTCCAAAAAAAAAAGGGGGGGTTCTTAAATAAACAATATTAATTGTTATTTTATTCTATGGACACTGGTCAAGTGTTTATAATCGTAAACTCAAACATCACTTCCTACAAGTAAGGAAAACATTTCTATTATCTAATGTTAATTTACTCAAACACATTTATTGAGTACTATCTTCAAAGCACTGTACTAGAAGCCAACAGTATAAAATCATGAACACTTATGGTCTATAAAAACAAACTTTAAAAGAAATTAATGCCAAAATTGGATTATTACCTCTAAGAATTGGGCATTCACTTTAAAATCTGGAGGAGGAAGCCCATTTTTAATTGCTATGTGTTTTTTTTCTTCAATACTCTTAAAAAGATGTTTAACAGCTCGAGAAATAATACCCTGTTCTTCCTCAACAATGTTAACATCAAATCCTGTTCCCATTGTGTATGTTTTGCCAGCTCCAGTCTAAACAAAAGAACAGAGAAAGATTAGTGTTCAACCTTAACATAACCTTAAGAAACAAAAATGAAAGCGCAACTGAATTAACATTTCTGAAAAGTTTCAACTCCTATGAAAATAATAAGGCACTTACTTGTCCATAAGCAAAAACTGTAGCATTGTATCCTTCGAAGCAACCTTCAATTAGTTTTTCTATACATTGAATGTAGATCTGCTCTTGCTGGGAGTCAATGTCAAATACATAGTCAAAAGTAAAAGCCTTGTCTTTCCCTAGGAAGACCTGAGGCTCTCCCGGTGTGACAGATGTACAAATATGGCATCCTTCAATCTTCTCTTTGGCAAGCTGTGGTCTTATTCTGTGAGAAATAATCAGAAAAGAAAAAAAATAAAATAAATGCCAAAAAAAAACTCTCAAAAAATAGGACCTAAAAATTCTTGGCCAAATCTTTTTTAAAACTCTAATGTAATTACCTAATGCTTATTCAGTTGAAAAGTTTAAATAAATTGAATTATAATGAATCAATTTCAGTATATGAGATGACTTTCTTAATTTCAATGAGATACTTAACAATCCCCCAAAATCATGAACAAGAGTAAAATCCATCTTAAAATTAGATACTTATCCAAGAGGATACTTTTCCTCTGCTCTGTAAGAGGTAGATACTCAATCCAATAAATTCTGCTACCAAAGTGCTATTTGCTATTATTATTGTTTTAGATTTTTTTTCTCTTTATTTTCAGTGGTAATAGTATAGCAAAATAAAAAAGCAAGGACATTTGGAAAAATAAAAAAGCAAGGACATTTATTTATCTTAATGTCTTGATGCCCTTGACTCGTCTTTTTTGCTAACTCTTCACCAGTGGTTTCTGAACCTATTTGACCATTATGTTCTGTCACAGTAACATGTTTAAGCATATTCCCACAACATATATATATTCATTTATAAATAATATTCATGTTCTACCATATTGATTTGTCATATACTGAAATACTGTCATCTCTCAGTTTCCATGAAAGATTGGTTTCACAACTCCCCATGGATAACAAAATCCACAGATGTTCAAGTCCCTGACATAAAATGATGCAGTATTTGCATATAACTTACACACTTACTCTTCTGTATACTTTAAATCATCTCCAGATCACTTATAATACTTATACAATGTTAAGCTATATAAATAGTTGTTATACTGCATTATTTTAGAGAATAATAAGAAAAGAAAGTCTGTACATGTCCAGTACACAGGTAACAATCCATTATTTTTCCTGAATATTTTCAATCCACAGTCAGTTGAATCTATAATTGTGGAACCCCTGAATATGGAGAGTCGATTGTTGGGAGGCCGAGATGGGCAGATCACGAGGTCAGGAGATCGAGACCATCCTGGCTAACACGGTGAAACCCCGTCTCAACTACAAAAAATTACAAAAAAACTAGCCGGGCGAGGTGGTGGGCGCCTGTAGTCCCAGCTGCTGGGGAGGCTGAGGCAGGAGAATGGCGTGAACCCGGGAGGCGGAGCTTGCAGTGAGCCGAGATCCCGCCACTGCACTCCAGCCTGGGCGACACAGCGAGACACCCCCTCAAAAAAAAAAAAAAAAAAAAAAAGCAGAATTTTAAAAAGAAATAAATTAGAAATAAATATAAATGAAAGTTCTAATATCTTCTCTCCAAAACAGTGAATTATTATGAGTTGCCTTTCCTCCACTTGGAGGATCACTGCACTACACCCACACCACATCTTTGCGCATCCACTTGAATCCAATACCTTCCTGTCTGTCTTCTCTCTCAAATTTCAAAACCTATTTTCAAAGAAGAAAAGTAAATATGAAGATATGTTCATAACAGAATAAACCAAAATCTAATCCTATTCTGTAGGCTCTATAAACAGGACAGAATATTCTGGAATATATACCACTCACTTACTGTACCTAAGTTTTTAAAGAGATTCCCTACTTGCCATGGTTAAAGAGAAGCAGTTTAAGGAAGAAAGGCAAGACAAACACAGATTGAAAATATAAAATGAGGCCAGGTACGGTGACACGCCTATAATCCCAGGACTTTGGGAGGCCGATTGCTTGAGATGCAGGAGTTCCAGACCAGCCTGGCTGACACGGTGAAACCCGGTCTCTGCTAAAAATACAAAAATTAGCCCAACGTGGTGGTGCAGCTGGTAATCCCAGCTACTCGAGAGGCTGAGGCAGAAGAATCGCTTGAACCCAGGAGGCAAGGCTTGCAGTGAGCCACCAAGATGGCACCACTGCACTCCAGCCTGGGCGACTGAGTGAGAATAAATCTCCAAAAAAAAAAAAAAAATGAAAAAGAAAAATATAAAATGATCAAGGAACAGATTTTAAAGGAATCTGGTCTCATAGCCTTATTTTCTGAAATTTAAAAAAAAAAAAAAACCTCAGGTCAATAGAGGTAAAATACAGGTAAAACAAGTTCATCTATTTATTAGAGATAAAGCCAAACCCAAGTCCAGATCCCCTAAGTCTAACTCTTTACAGTTAATAGACAGAAAGGATTGAATTTCTGCAAACCTGGTTTTCTAAAATAGAATTTTGTATGCCTCAAAAATATCTTATGTAAATAATATGTTAAGTAAAGAATATGCAACTATTTTTTCTCCTCTATGATACTGGTATTTTTCTTTAATAAACTCTTCAGCTTTGTTTGTCAGCTGTAATGGAATGTACTAATCAATGTGGAGCTGTCCAGGTAATGAGGTAAGAGCAATGGAGTGGCCAGTAGCAGACCCGAGTTTTACTACTTGTCACTCCATAGGTATCATGTGGTCTTCTCTCAGAGCACCAGTTTCCTCAACTGTGGAGGAAAACCATAATTTCCAAGATTCCTTTTAGATTCAATAATACTTAACTGTAGATACTGTATTTTAGAAAAGGGAAAGATGGAAATAATATTTGTGTACTGTAATACACATTAAATATTATTATAGCAAATAAAACAAAGAATTTCTTGTAATTTCTTGTAGCTATGCACATAGACTACAAAAACCGCCATGGTAGTAGCAGCTTTGGCTTTCTGGTTCCACACAACCTAGATGAGTGGTGCTCTCTAAATTAATAATTTTTTGTTTCCAAATTCCTCTTCTCCTACCACACTATATTTAGTCATGTGGAGGAAAACACAGCAAAAACCCCAAGCCTCTTTAGGAAAAATCACCGTCTTGATTGTTGCCACGCCAGAAATAGGAGAGTCAGAAACAACCTCAATTCCATGTGAATTCCTCCCTCTTCCCTATTCCACCTATCTAAGAGCTATTCTCTCTGAAATACATCAGCCCACCAAGTTATTTCCTCCCCCATCAACACCACCCTAACGAAGGCCATCATGATCTCTTACTTAGAATACTGCAAAAGTCTTCTAACCAGTCTTCCTGTGTCAACTCTTGCCCTCACCAACCTGTTCCACACACTGTAATATGAGTAATTTGTAAAACAGGAAGTTGGTCAGCTCACTACCCTGCACAAAACCCTTCAGTACATCTCTAAATCCCTCTGCTTTGCCATGCCACATCTTTGCATTAAAGGATTTTCACTGGTAGCCATGGTGATGGTTTATTTTAAGCAGCTTCACTACCACCTATGCTCTCTCTTATTTCTATGCCTCCAACTACATTATTCCCTTTTCCTAGACACTCTTTCCACCCTTTCAATTCCCAACTCCTTTACCTGCCTGAACATTTTTCTTTTGATATCTCTTGTTTTGGGAGCTCACACAAACTCTGCATTTCAACATAAAGTCCTGTCTGCTCTCAGGCTGTTCTCTCTCCTGAAAGCTACCTCATTAACTCCAGGTCTCTGCTTTTTCTACCAGCTTTACGGTTGCTATAGTACTCTGTGAAACTTAACAAATCCCACGTAATAAAAAAGACAAAAATAATAAACCCAGCTCTCTAATGAAAACGAGTACTGGGCTACTACTTAATATCAGTGTGCCATTAATTTTAGGTAAATGATTAAAACCATAAGCTAACTTATTTGGCTATTAAGATACTTTAAATTTCACTTCAACATAACAAAGAAAAACAAGGTGCCATTTTAATTGCAGATATGATAGCCAATTTTAGAATCTAATGTCACTCAGAATGTCTTTAACTTATTCTCTTAATCTCTACTCATCCGGTTATTATTCTTGCTAATGGCAAGGAGGATTCTGTTTGAAACACGGATGATGCCCAATTTCATCCATTTGCATGGGCAGAGGAGAGAGAGTGGCTTTAAAAGCCAACAAGATGGGTGGAAACTTTTCCACTGGATCCAAGCAATGGCAATTTTCCAACAGGTCTGAGAAAGTCATACCTAGGAGGGGATGGTGTCCCACACATGCAGATTAATTGGAAGCTAACTATACTTCAAAGACTAAGGACAGGTTCACCTTTTTAATTCCTCTTCAAAAATTAATACTTTAAAATCTCCAAATCCCTAAATTAGTACTCAAGTCAATAATTCTCACAGGAACACCCAACCCAAGTCAATTCACCTGCTTTGTAATTGATGAGTTTGAAACCTAGCTACAAACCTCAATTTCAAAACAATTACTTGATGTTCTATATAGACAAAATATACCTATCCTTCTGTAAAAGAGAAAATTGGAAACATAACATTTACAACTTTGGATATTTTGAAATATCTTCTTTCTCAGTATTTTTATGTAAAAAATAAGATCATTAAACACATACATCTAATCCCAACACTAGGAAATAATCAGCATTAATGTTTGGATTAACTAATGTTAATCAAACTGACTAACACTAAGAAATAATAAAGCCAAGTAGATTTTTAAAAATGTATTATTCTACAACTAGATGTATTTAAAACTGCTTCTTAAAGAAAAACAATTATGGATTAAAATTGAATTCTTATTTCTCCATTAGCAAATGATTCTTTGAAGACAGAGAATATATCTTATTCATTCCTAAAGCAAAGTAATCCACAAATATTTACTGACTTACCCCTATAAACTACATTAGGTAAGAAAAGAGTATTTTAATGCAAGATATATGATAATTACAATAATATAATATCACTTTATTCTGTCACTAGAAACTTGTTCTTGAACAAGCATTTAACCATGCTACATGTCCATTTTCTAATCTATAAGGAGCCTGGCTTTACTAATTCCAAGTTTAAATTGTATTTTAATTAATCCTTCAAGAAAAGCAAATCAAAGTTTCTCTATGCTGGGTTTTAAAAGGTTGAAATAAACTACTTTTTTCCCCTGCCATACACTATCCATCAGTACTTCTTACTGTTTGTTCCTTATTGTATAACAAATATTGCTGTGGACACAGGGCAAGGGACTACTTCATTTATGAAAACATTATCATGGGC